AGTCATTTTCTGTCTTTATGTGTTAAAACAGTATTATGTTATGTATCTACTTTCTTATTTAGGTGAAATATGAATGACAGCTAAAGATTAATAAGTATCAAATTCATTATTTCTCTTCTATTGCACCCCCTATCTTTATCTGTATTTACACTGACTGGCTAAGTAACTTACATTTTATATGAATGTATGTTACTTGATTGTTGTAAGTGTTGCAAATGCTTACAGCTGAATCCTGGCTATGTTTGTATACTTTTTATTTAAAATTGTATACAGTGTAACATTCTTCATTCTTCCACTGGGTAAGTATATTAGTTCTTAGGCAATACTGTGCTTCGGCACTTCGACACTTCGGAACTTCAGCACTTCGGCAATTCGACACTTCGGAAATTTGGTAATTTCGGAAATTCGGGACTTCAACCATTTGGCAATTCGGCAATGCATCCATTCGGACATTCGGAAGTACCCAAATGTCCGAATTGTCCGAAATTCGTCCGAATTCACATTCAGACCGAAACGAATTGCACATGTCTAAATTTTAATAATAACATATTGAATTGCAACCTGTATAGTGGGATCAGTAGCGTCCTTATTTAAATTAACCATAAACCGATGCTATTCCTCCCATGCCTTCAAGTATCCTTCCCAAGTGGTTGTAGATAACGATAAACCCAACAAATGGCTTATCTTGGTGAAGTTAGCTCCCAGATGTGTTCTGGCAACTTCGTTCCAACTTTGTCTGCTATAGGTGCAAGGAATCTGAAGACTTGAAGTCAAAACGGGACAAAGCATCAGCTATACAATTACTTTTTCCACTTACATGCTTCACTTTTACCCAAATATTATTTACCAAACAAATAAAAACAAATTGTCTCAATAAATAGATCACCGGGTTACATTTTGTCCTAAGAAAATTGATTACCAAAACAACCCCTAAATTGTCATAATGAAAAGTAATCCTCGTGTTTGCTAATTCAGAGCCCCAAGCCTCCAGGGCTATGACCACCGGAAATAGTTCCAAAAGGACAATCATTCTTGTCCAACCATTCTCAACCCACATCTGGGGCCAACCAGTGGCTGCCCAACTACCATGAAGGTATATACCAAAGCCTTGAGAACCAGCTGCATCCGTGAAAATATCCAAATCCCAATTGGATACAAAATCACTTTGCAAAATCATGGAACCATTAAAGTTGCATAAAAAAGCATTCCAAACATGTAAATCTTCTTCAGTCTGTCTAGAAATTCTAACATGGTGATGCAGATTTTTAAAACCAGCTATAGCTCTGGACATATGTCTGGAAAAAGCCCTAGCCATTGGCATTACTCTTGAAGCAAAATTTAGTAAACCTAACACAGACTGCAATTTTTTAACTGTCGTTTTATTAACATCTAATAAATGAGAAATTTTGCGCTTCATTCTGACAATTTTATCTTCAGGCAAACAAAACTCCATTCTTTCAGAATCAATAATTATACCTAAAATTTGCAAACATGTACCAGGCCAAACTGTCCTTTCTTTTAATGGAATACCAAATTGTTGAGCAATGGACATGAAAATTTTCAATAAATGAAAGCAAATAGAAGATTCAGCAAAGATTTTCAACAAACTGAACTGATAAACTACAAACAGGAATTCTAAAACCAAATAAAAAACCTGCAAAAGAGAACATGTAGGAATCTATAGGTATAAATGTAAGACATATCTAGGACAGATACTAGGGGATAACCCTTGTGGAGAATTTAAATAAGAAAATGAGAAAGCGTGATCTGTCCTAATAGTATCACTGATATAAGATAACTAATATAAAATATAACATTTAATAAGTATAATTTAAAAAAGGTAAAAACCTCAAAACACGGGAGAAAAAAAGAGGGGAAATAGTAAAAAATTTGCTATACAAATACTGTATAATAGAGATTAGTTAAATAGTAGAGAACAGAATAGAAAATCACTGTATTACATAGCTGAAAAGAGACTTGCATCCATCAAGTTCAGCTATCCTCACATTTTTTTTTGCTGTTGATCCAAAAGAAGGCCAGAAAAACCTAGTTTGAAGCCCTTCCAATTTTGCAACAAGCTAGAAAAAAAAATCCTTCTTGATCCCAGAATGGCAGTCAGATTTATCCTTGGATCAAGCAGTTATTACCCTACATTGAAAGATTATATCCTTGAATATTCTGTTTTTGAAAGTATGCATCTAGTAGCTGTTTGGACTCTGATAAAACCACTTCTTCAAGCAGAGAATTCCACATCCTTATTGTTCTTACAGTAAAAAACCTTTCCTTTGCCTTAGTCGACATCTTCTTTCTTTCAGTCTCGTGTCCTATGTAAAGTCCGGTTTGTGAATAGATTTCCACACAATGGTTTGTATTGGCCCCGAATATATTTGTATAATGTTATCATATCCCCTCTCAGGCAATGTTTTTTCTAAACTAAATAGGTTTAAATTTGTTAACCTTTCTTCCTAGCAGATATGTTCCATTCCTTTTATTAATTTTGTAGCCCGCCTCTGCACTTTTTCTAGTGCCATAATATCCTTCTTTAGAACAAGTGCTCAAAATTGCACAGCATATTCAATATGTGGTCTTACCAGTGATTTATAAAGAGGCAAAATGATATTCTCATCCGGAGAATGAATGCCCTTTTTCATGCATGACAATACCTTACTGGCCTTAGCCACTGCTGATTGACATTGCACATTGTTGCATAGTTTGTTGTCTATAACAACTCCCAAGTCCTTTTCGTGTGTTGTTATCTCTAGTTCGCTTCCATTAAGGGTATACGTTGCTTGTGTATTCTTTACACCAAAGTGCATAACTTTGCATTTTTCAACATTAAATTTCATCTGCCATTTGAGTGCCCAGTCCCCCAGTCTATCTAAATCCCTCTGCAGCAAAGTAATATCTTGCTCACATTGTATTATTTTACAGAATTTTGTGTCATCTGCAAGCATTGAAACATGACTTTCAATGCTTTTTTCAAGATCATATATAAACATGTTAAATAGAAGGGGTCCCAGAACAGAACCCTGAGGGACACCACTTGCCACCTCTGTCCAGCTTAAAAATTTACAATTAATGACAACTCTTTGTACTCTATTTTTAAGCCAATGTTCTACCAAAGAACAAGCATTTCCCTCTAGACCGTTTTCCTTGAGTTTGAACACTAATCTTTTGTGTGGAACTGTATCAAATGCCTTGGCAAAATCCAAATAGATCACATCCACTGCAACACCCTGATCTATACTTCTACTTACTTCTTCGTAGAACGCAATCAAGTTAGTTTGACATGACCTGTGCTTCATAAAACCATGCTGATATTTGCTGATAACCATGTTCTTCTCAAGGAATTCTTGAATATTATCCCTTAATAACCTTTCAAATATTTTCCCAACCACAGAGGTTAAGCTCATAGGTCTATAATTTCCAGGCAAGGATTTTGAACACTTTTTGAATATAGTAACCACATCTGCCTTCCTCCAATCCTCCGGAACACTTCCTGAAAGAAAAGAATGTTGAAATTATTGTTTTATATATATATATTTATATATAATATAAAATAAATAAATATGTAAATACGTTAAAAAAATGATTACATTTTTAGATAGTGGCTGACTTGGCTGAGTAGCGCTGATAATAGAGGACAGTGAGTGTCCTGTTAGATAATCAAAGTAATTTGTAATAGTTTATCACCAGGATGCAATATGGAGAGCCGCCCAATTAAAGAAAACTAAAGCAGACAGGAAGAAATGAAGAACAGATCCTGACAGAGGGAGAGAAGAGGAATTGATTAAAGAAAGGTAAGTTCGGAATGACAGTACGCTTTAACTTCCTTAATCAAATGCTTGATAGATATCTTCTCAATATGACAAAGAAAATTATTATGAGGAAAAGAAAAAAGAAAAACAACTCTACATTAAACTTTTCTTCTTAATTCTGGCGCCAAATATCACCTCAGGGCACCTTATATATTGCGTTTTTTCCTGCTCTAGAGTGCCCTTGCGGACAATCGCTCCAATAAGAGCATTGTCCACGCATACTCCTGCATAGAGGTTCACGAGGGCATCGTAACAGCTGTTACTGATGCCCCCGTGACTGATATCGGTGTGTGCCGCAACTCTGATCACTGAATAACCCTGCAACGCAATTGACTAGGTACATTCCAAACTGCACTCAAAGTGAATTCCAGTCTGGCTATTTTGACCTTAAATTTGTAATGCAGTTTGAATCCTCAGTCTAGTGAATAACTCTTATAGGGAAAGTGGAACCATCTGGAAACTACCAAGGAAAATAAAAAGAGAAAAAGTGTTTGAAGAATCAGCTCAACCAATCAAGCCTTTAGTAACAGAGCTGGAAGAGCAGCATCTAGATATATGAATGTCCTCAATTATTATTATTATCATTTATATAGCGCCATCAGATTCTGTAGCACTGTACAATGATATTACAAAAACACCATCAAGTAATGGAAGGAAGACCAGCAAGTTAAAATAAGATCATGTTAGTCATAATAAAGTCATCAGCATTTTATTTAGGCAACTGACTATTTTTGGGGGGCATTAGCATTAGGCTGAGGGTATAGGGACAATTAGAGCAGTGAGAGTGGCTAAGGATAGTGGGGGTGGCAGTTGACAGTGGGGAGTGACAGAAGTTGAGGGTGAATGGCTGAGGATAGTGGGATTAGTGAAATTATGGCATAGTATGCTGGCTTAGTGGTTAAGGGTAGTGAAGGTGGGTGAGGGAACAGTAGGGGCAGCGGTCGAGGACTGAGAATAGTTATGGTGGCTCAAAATACAGATAAAACACAATAGTAGTATTTTTCAGCAGTATTTCACTCTCCTCTATGCTAATTAACATTTAAATAAAACTTGAAAACTTTCTATCCCATGCTAGAATCCTTCAACAAGATATATCACAACCAGGCAGGGAGGTGGTTAAGTGTTTATGCAGTAGAATTTAAGTTTCGTTTCATTATAACTTCCTTGTTCTGACTGTATATGGGGAGGGATTTCTGCTGACTGAAATGCTATAAATGTATCTTTCAGGTTTTAGGGCAAATCAGACGCAAAATGGCAGAAGGGAATTCTGGAAGAGGAATGAAGGGCAGTTCATCTAGTACTGACCCAGAGAAACCTTTGACAGGAAAAAAAAGTACAACCAGGTCAGGCAAGCAAAGCAGAGAAAAGAATGAGTGCATTAGCAGGGAAGAAGGAGACGACAAGCCTCAGGATATCCATTTAAACCGGGGCAAATCAGTAAATGGAAGGAGACAACCCAGTACTAAAGCAGAATCAGGTGACAAGAAGCAAGGGAAACTTAAAAAGGAAGACACTAAAGCGTCAACTCAAACTAGGGCAATGGGAACAATACCACGGACACACAGCAGAAAGAAGACCACCAAGGAGTCTACTGATTCTCCTAAATTTGAAGATAGTGTGGCAAAACCATTCAGCACTCAAAGAAAGAGTAGCAAGGTATCTACAGACATGGCATCACAACCCCAAACAAATCAGGAGACACCCATTCCATCTCGTGAAAGTCGTAGAAGACTAAAAGATGTATTGAAGAAACTGAAACTAAAAATGGATGAAATTTCAGCTGCAGCTCAGATAGTGAATAATACTATAGATAACATTCTCAAGTCTGCCTGTTTGAAAGAACATCCTATATTTAAGAATATTTTAAAAATGAATACTGGAAGCTACTTTGAAGGGCTTAAGGTGAGAGAACAAAATCTTCTTGATACAAAATTACAATTCATTTTATATGTAACTCTTACCTTTTTGAAGGCTGATAAAGTGATTTCTCTGCTCCTCTTCCTAATAGACAAAAGCCTCCTAACCCTATGGACCCTGGCTATTTTCATAAACCCTCTGATCCTAACATTAGAATTGGATCATCCTTTTTAATGGTGCTGTAGTGGCACTGTGCTCTGTTGAACACAACACAATTGATTTGAACTGTTTATTGGGTTTGCCTGCAGCTGTTTGTGGGGTCTTTTTTGTCTGTGGGATGTATTTTTATCCCATAAATGTCAGTACAACAGAAGTTTTTAGGATACCTAATTTATCCCCAATGAGAAGTACCATGCTGAGGCTGCTATCGGTACACACATTTAGTTTAGTGAACTAAGCAATGTGAAGCTCTTGGCAGAGCCACAGTCCACACATGCAAGGTCCATGGTTTGGCTCTTTCTCCATGGACTAGATAAAGCTTAGCTCACAATTTCAATCTGGCATGCAGGCACGGCATGGAGATTTTTGACAAAACAGCTTGTATTCCTAGCATTACAGTATCCCGTTAAGAAATGAGTGAGATTTTATCATAGATAAAGAGATATGTTCGGTTAAAACCATGGGAGAGATTGGAGGGGTAACAGGTTAAAAAGGCATGCCGTGTGGGAATTGAGGTATTTCATGTGAAGAGAGGTTAGTAGACTTAATTGGTGTTTAGAAAACCAGGTAATTTGTACTATATATCTATAAATGTAGTGATTACCCTGGGGAGGGTGGGGTGTGGAGTAGAGTGGGTGGGAATTATTTTTCCAAAATTTAATGCCACTGCATAAGGCTTTAGCTGCAAGACTTGGTAGCTGTGAACTTATGTGTTGACTTGTTTGGGACACACAGGCTCAGCAAAAAGCTTATAATGTTTTTGTTTGTTTTTTCTTTGTGAGATGTTCTATGCTCTTTTAAATATATAAAAAATGTAGCAAATTACATTATAATCCAATACAGACAAGGCAAATCTAGGCCCAAAATTGCAAGTGCGAAATAGAAATAGTAACATGGTTTCATTTCTCCTCTTCTCTGTCTGCTTTTTTTATGCCAACATCAGCGTGTAAAGAACAACTTCTAACAATGACTGGCCGAGAGCTAAGATGGAGGCACCCAGTTGTAGGATAAATTGGCTTTTTTATTTTTCATTCATCACAAATACATATTTGTTAAATATATAGATCAGTAAGAATAATATTTAAAAAATCATGGAAATTAACATTTCCACTTTAATGAATAAGTAAAATAAGTTGGCAATCCTCTTTTGTAAATTTTGCAATGCTTTTTTCAGTTATCAAAAAGAAATGGTCCTTCTTCAAGCAGTGGACCTATGTGGAGTGTGGAGGAATTCTTATTAGATCCACTTTAAACGCATGCCCAGAAGGGATTAATTAGGGTGCTTCCTCTTTCACAGCTGGGTTTTTAGGGAAATTTTCCGCTCTATAACACTAGCTATCTTGGTTCCCAACTCTTTTTAAAAATGATACAGGAGAGTGTAATAAAAGGATAGGAAGTATATTTTCACATAAAATGTCCAAATAATATGTATGGGTGAGAACTATAAAATTACACAAAATGTTCGAAAAATTTATAAAAACAGAACATAAAGGACAAGTGGTGACATAATAAAGTTTAACGTTACAGGAAAATCTTCTCTAAGAGCAAAGCAAACAATATACTCACAAAAACATTTCCCATACAAATATAAAATCTGAAATGTAAAGCCCTTGTATGGTGCTTAGTATATTTAGTATACTTCATGTTTGTTTATATTAAGTACTCACAAAAAAATGCCAAATGGAGCAACGGAAGCAATTAATGAAGTGAAATAGTAGTCACACACAATAAAAGATACTGATCACTTTTTATTGTATTTTTGTACTCATTGAACTTTTTTGGTTAGGCATTGAATAAGCTAATTTTGACGTTATTGGCACAAGTTCCAATTCACTGAATGCTAGAATAGATCATTTATGTTGAGTGAGAACCCTCTGATGCCATTACCTTGAGTATATTTGTTGCATATGAACGAACTGAGTGGGAACTTTATTTAACAAGAACTTCTTTCAAGTACCTTGATGTTATGCAGCCACTACAATAAGAGAATCATATTGTCATTTCTGTATACTTTTGCCCAAATTTGAAACAGATTTTATAAAGAAAATATTCATCACTTCCCCATAAAACACACATGTGCTTAGCAAGGGGTTAATAACATAATAACAGCAAGTAATACATAACATAGTAAGGCACAGAAACATAATAATGAAACACAGACTCAGATGTGTGCTAAAAAGGTCGTGGTCTTTCATTTAGTTTACAAATTATACAAACGTAACTCATTTACTTTAAAACATGTAATTTCTAACCAAACATCTCCGGTCTTTAACCCCTTAAGGACCAAACTTCTGGAATAAAAGGGAATCATGACATGTCACACATGTTGTGTGTCCTTAAGGGGTTAAACCCCCAGAGATTTAACACATAACTCACCAGAGTTCCGCCCTATTAGCCAGAACCCAAACAAAATGATAACGTAACTCCCCCCCCCTTTAAATTAGGCAGGTGACCCCACAAGCTGCAGCATGCAACTAATGCTGCAGCCCACCCCACCAGACCAAGGCCTTATCGATCATGCACTGTAAATCATTATTAAAAATATCTAAACCGATATCAGATAAATGAATACCATTTCTTATAAACAAACCTTCACACTGCCCCTTAATGTCGACATGGCGAAAACAAAAACCACGAACTGATAGCATAAATTTCAGACCAAATAATTAACAAGCCGAGAAAATTTGCTTAAAATGAAAAACATCCTCCTTAAGTTGATGAAACAAAACCACTGACTTAACTATGCCCACATCATTCCTACCATAATGAAAAATAATAACATTTGGCCAAAACAGCTTTGTAAATCTTTAAAAACTTCATCCCTTAATAAACCCCTTACACCAACCCAATAAATGAAAGCGGTCTCATTATCAAAACTCAAGTTTTCGCCAAATGACCTCTCCACAGCTCTTCTATGTGCCTAGTGGATGAAAGAATGGCCTACTATCCATATAATCACAGGCCCTTATATCTGAAACAGAAAGAATCAAGTCATTAAGCATTAAGGTCTAACATAACTTTTAAATCTGCTCGAGGACCATCAACCCACTTTCTTAACTGACTCATTCGATAGACCATGTGATTCAGCCTCTGTTGCAGCACCTATACGAAATAAATGAGATGTAATCTGTAGCGGAGATACAATTTTCCACAGATTATCTCCGCTTAAGATCCCAGTGAGGCTCAGGAACAAGTAAATTATAAATCCACAGGCAAGGTTTCCAACAGGCAAAATAATCCCATAGTATCCCCACAGCAATCCCAATGACTGGACGACACACAGCATCAGGAGCAGAACTGCAAGCTTTATTCCACAGTGGCCTTTTAAAGCATGCTCCCATGCAAAGGAGGGATTACATTCATTAACACAATAGCCAATCCTGTCCTGGTAACCTCCCACACATCTCCTCCCCTCAGCCGGCATCATAATCCCCTTATCCAGTACAGCAATTCCCCCCATTTCTGGATGTACCCCTAAATCTAGGGGTACCACTTTAAATTATGCATCCCCTGGTAGCCCTGATCTGGGTGAACAACATATCCAAAAAGATTTGGACCAGGGGTTCGGGAATTTCATGGAGGGAATAAAATGACCGACCGCACTGGATGAACTAGCCGAATTGGGCTCCATGTGATTGGGCCCTGCGGTTGGTCCTGGAACAGGCGAATGAAGTACCTGAAAGCCTCCAGCTATAGAGGCTGGGGAGGGTTCGCCTGAATCCCCTCGTTCGGTTGATTATGCCTACCGAACGAGGGGCTGATGGAGGTCTCAGCGTTGTTCGCCTAGTCGAGTGTCCGTTTTGAGTTCCAGACACTCGATGGCAAAACACCGCTGTTCGGGAGTTTAAGATGGCCTCCGCCACGTGTTCGTTTCCCGAATGGCGGCCACCCCCGAGAACAAAGGATTGCTACACAGCTTGTCAATTACCCGTTCGCAACAATGTTGAAACGAGTAATTGAAGGCACACTTCATACAGGGGAGGTCTGACTCTTCGGTAGTTTCATTCGAACAAACTAAGGGAATGAAACTACCTAACATTCAGATGAATACAATACATTTAGCACATAGAAATTTGCTATTTTACACAAATGCATTCCCTTACTGCATATACATTTAGCCAGGGCCGTCTTTAGCGCGGGGCAAACGGGGCAGCTGCCCCGGGCCCAGTTTCTCTTGGGGGGCCCGAGGCACCTGCCCCGTGGGCCCCGCTGCCCTCATCAATTAATTTTTTTCCCCCGTCCCACCGGGTGGCCCATGCACTTAGGGCAGTGGCGTACATACCAGGGTCGCGGCTGTGACCCTGGTATGCACCCACAGGGCCAGCATCTTCCCCTGGGGGGCCCAGGAGGCGGCCACCCCAGGGCTCCCCTGAGGCTGGCCCTGCTGACCCCGGCGGGCGGGTGGCCGGTCGGGCAGGAAGGCGGGCGCGCGAGGGAGCCCTCAGTGCTTCCTCTTCAGCTCCCTCGCGCACCGCACTGATACCGGAGCCAGAAGATGATGTCATCTTCCGGCGCCGGCATCCCTACGCGGCACTGAGTGCTCCCTCGCGCGCCCGCCTTCCTGCCCGACCGGCCACCTGCCCGCCGGGGTCAGCAGCACCACTGGACCCCAGGGAATCCCCCCAGCACTCCAAAAGGTAAGGAGGCTGGGGGGATTACATTTAAAAAAAAAATGTGTGTTTATGTGTTTGTGTGTTAGTGTGTGTTTGTGTGTTAGTGTGTGTTTGTGTGTTAGTGTGTGTTAGTGTATGTGTGTAGTGTGTGTTTGTGTGTTAGTGTATGTGTGTTAGTGTGTGTGTGTGTGTCAGTATGTCTGTCTGTGTGTCAGTATGTCTGTGTATGTTTTTGTCAGTATGTCTGTCTGTGTGTCAGTATATCTGTGTGTGTGTGTTTCAGTATGTCTGTGTGTGTGTGTCAGTATGTCCTGTCTGTGTGTGTGTCAGTATGTCTGTGTGTGTGTGTCAGTATGTCTGTCTGTCTGTGTGTGTGTATATCTGAGTGCGTCAGTATGTCTGTTAGTGCATGTGTATGCATGTGTCAGTATATCTGTCTGTGTGCCAGTATGTCTGTGTGTGTGTGTGTCAGTATATCAGTCTGTGTGTGTCAGTGTATGTGCCTGTGTGTGTGTGTCAGTATTTCTCAGTGTATGTGGGTGTCAGTATATCTGTCAGTGTGTGTGTGTCAGTATGTTGATCAGTGTATGTGTCTGTGTGTGTGTGTCAGTATGTCGGTATATGTGTCTGTGTGTCAGTATGTCTGTATATGTGCCTGTGTCAGTATGTCTGTCAGTACGTCTACCAGTGTATGTGTCTGTGTGTGTGTCAATATATGTACCTGTGTCAGTGTGTCTGTCAGTGTATGTGCCTGTTTATCTGTATGTAGTCAGTGTATGTATCTGTGTATCTGCTTGTGCGTCAGAGTGTGTACCTGTGCATCTGAGCCGCAACTTTAAATACAAATACACCCCTCCATTCAAACTTCAACACTACATATAAAACACACTCCTGCATTGAAACGTCAACACTACATACAAGCACACTCCTACATTCAAAAACAAACACTACACATAAATGCACACTTGCATTCAAACTCCAGTACCACATACAAACACATTCACACAAACATACTCCATACAAACACATGCTTACATTCAAACATACAAACATGGCTCAGTGCTAAATACAACCCTGCAAGCATGGGAAATTGGTAGAGTCCCAGCTGTCAAAGCATTGTTGGAGTTGCACGACAGATGGGGTTCTACCTTTAGTCCAACCTTGCAATTGGGGGTCCCAATAAAATTCATTCTACTTTAGTACCGCCACTGCGTTGGGATGGATGCCGTGATTGCATACCAGGGAGTGAGGGGCGAGAGCGGCAGGACCCAGGGGGCCCAAGCAAACACTTGCCCAGGGTCCATTCGTTATTAAAGACGGCCCTGCATTTAGCAAATAGACGAATACAGGTTAAACATAATACAAGTCCCAGGGCAGCTCATGGCCATCCGCTACATAATCCTTTTATCATCAATACTCAACTCTTTACATGATAACTGAAGAACTTTTCGAAATTGAAATTTAGAAAGAGGGACCCCTGACCAGTGTATTAAAAGACTACCTTGACCCTTTAGACGAATACTTAAATAAACCCTAACTGCCTTAACTGGACATAACGAATGATGTATAGCTCCTAACTGAACCCATTGACCTTTCCCTTGCTGGTCAGTTTTTGATATTCTTAATAAAAAATGTAAAAGCCCATCTTGTAAATATACTTCCTTAAATTAGATACCCGAATGGCAAGACTTGTTAGCAGAAACTAATTCGCTGATTCTAAATCCCCCAAAAAATGCTAAAATAATAGCAGTGGTAAAAAGCTGGGGCTCAAATGTATCTCTATAAACGGAGCTCAAATTATTTACCAAATCAGCCAATATTTGAAAAGAGATAGGGGGCCTGTCATCTCGTACTGGTGCTTTCTCTAACCAAGCCCCTTTTAACTTTTGCTGAATAACACATTTTTTTAACAACAGACTTTTCCCCAATACTTTAAGGGAGAAAAATGCATAATAGGGCTCTTTTAAATGAAAAATCAGATACACCAACCTGAATTTTTGTAACAACATATTGAATTGCATCCTGTATAGTGGGATCAGTAGCTCCGCGCGGCACTCACACAGCGAGACTTGCAGGGGAGCTGACAGAGGAGCTTACCGGAGGAGAGAGAAGGGAGCTGACAGGAGCTGCAGGAAAGGTAAGTTACAGCTCTCTGCCAGCCCCCTCCTACACAGTGCACACCACTGGACCACCAGGGAATGAGAGCCCCCGTCCCTGGCCAGGTATCAAGCAGGGAGGGGGGACGAAAAAAAATAAATACAAATTTAATTAATAATAAAATATTAATCATATTAATTAATAATAATAATAATAATAATAATAATAAAATAAAAATTAAATATTAATATAAAGAAAAAATTTAAATATTAAAATAATAATAATTATTTAAAAAAAACAATAAAAATGCCCAACCCCACCAAGGCTCTGCATCACATACACAACACACTTTGCATCACACACACACTGCATTAATACACACACATACACACTGCATTCATACACACACTGCACTCATACACACACACTGCATTCATACACACACTGCACTCATACACACACTGCACTCATACACACACTGCACTCATACACACACACACTGCACTCATACACACACACTGTTCTCATACACACACACTGCATTCATACACACACACTGCATTTATACACACACACTGCATTTATACACACACACACTGCACTCATACACACACACACTGCATTTATTATATACACACACTGTAAATAAATATTCAATTAATATGATTTTTTGGGGATATAATTTTATTTAGAAATTTACCAGTAGCTGCTGCATTTCCCACCCTTATACTTAACTCAATACGTTTTCCCAGTTTTTTGGGATAAAATTAGGGGTCTCGACTTATATTCGGGTTGACTTATACTCGAGTATATACGGTAGTTATTATATGCCGTCACATTCTATGTTTCTATGTTTCAGCACCTTCACTGCTGAATGCCCTCCTCTTAACTTCCTCAATCAAATGCTCCATAGCTATTCTCACAATAAAATACAAAGACTTGCTATGAAAGAAAAACAGCTCTACAGTTAACTTTTTCTTCTTTCTTCTGGCACCAAATATCATCTCAGGGCGCCTAATATATCCCGTTTTTTCCCGCTCCAGAGCGCCCTCATGGAAAGTTATGGAATGGAGGCATCTCTTGGAAGGTTCCAATGAGCCACTTTTTTCCGATCATAAGAATTTGGCTTATATTGGGGATGCTAAGAGATTGTCCTTCCGACAGGCTAGATGGTCATTATTCCTCTCCCGGTTTAATTTTACACAGGCCTGGTACAAAGAATACCAAAGCAGATGCACTCTCTAGACAGTTTGAGACAGATGAAGCCCCTGAACAAGAGGTATCCCCGATCGTACCTCCAGAATGCTTTATTGCTACTACAGTTACTGAAATATCTTCTCCACTCTTTGGTGCCATAATAGCAAATCAAACTCAGGCACCCGTGGGGAAACCTCTGGACAAACTGTATGTTACACCCTTATTAAGGAAGAAAGTATTTGGAGTGTTTCATGATAATCTGACAGCAGGACATCCTGGAAAACATAAAACTCTCTCTGCTATTTCCAGAAAATGTTGGTGGCCTATACTCAGAGGTGACGTTAAAGACTATGTAGGGGCATGTCAAATATGTGCGGTTTCTAAAACATCTCATCGATCTCCCCCTGGGTTGCCACAGCCACTTCTGATACCCGATGCTCCATGGACCAATTTAGCCATGGATCTCATTGTGGAACTTCCCAGTTCTAATGGGCATAACACCATCCTCATGGTGGTAGATATATTTTCCAAGATGGCACATTTTATACCTCTTAAAAAATTAAAAGATCTAGTCCAAATTTTCATAAAGGAGATCTTTCGCTTACACGGAGTACCAAAAAACATTGTTTCTGACAGAGGTACCCAATTTATCTCTAGGTTCTGGCGTGCCTTCTGTAAACAGTTGGGCATAGAACTTGCATTTTCCTCTTCGTACCACCCTCAGACTAATGGCGCCGCAGAAAGAGCCAATCAATCTTTAGAATCCTATTTGCGTTGCTTTATCAATGCCAGCCAGTCCAATTGGTTCGAACTCTTACCCATGGCTGAATTTGCCAGAAATAATGCGACTCATGAATCCTCGAGTCAGAGTCCATTTTTTGTAAATCAAGGTTATCACCCCACTAGTTTACCTTCTGAATTTTCAGGCACTGATATTCCTGCATTAAACACCCGTTTGACTTCTATCCAAGACACTTGGGATTCTGTTCATTCAGCATTACAGAATGCCTCTAAACGTACTAAAGTTCAAGCTGATAAGAAACTGGGTGCCAATACTGTTTATCAAGTGGGGGCAGTGGCGGATCCGGGGGGGCAACGGGGCAATTGCCACCCCGAGAAATCCGCCGGTCTCCCTCTCCCTCCCCTGCCAGCACATGCAGGTGCTAGCCCTGCAATGTGCCTGCGGACCGGAGGGGAAATCACAGATCTCCCTCCCCAGTCCGCAGGCACTGTGCTGGCAGCCGGTAGGGGAGGGAGAGGGAGGACCCGGGATCTCAGCCTGCAGCTCCTCCGGGTCCTCCTCTAGCGAGATTTGGAGCGTTGCCGCAGTTACCACCGGACCACCAGGGATCGAAATATGTCCCCCCTCCTCCTCCATAAAGGTAAGAAGGGAGGGGGGACATAGAATATTTATTTTAATTAAATAAAAAATAAATACATATATTATTATTAAAAAAAAAAGCCCCCCTACCCTTATCACACACTCTATACACATACACACACACTGCCGCATACACAAACATTGCCCCCCATACTGCCCCCCAAACACACACACTGCCCCCATACACACACTGCCCACCATACTGCCCCCATACACACACACTGCCCCACATACTGCCCCCATACACACATTGCCCCCCACACTCTACACACACACACACTGCCCCCCCATACACACACATTGCCCTCCATACACACACACTGCCCACCCATACACACACACTGCCCCCATACACACATACTGCCCCCATACACACACACTCTACACACACACACTGCCCCCATACACACACATTGCCCACACTCACACATACACTGCAATACTCACACACAATGCAGCTGTTACACACACATACTGTTCCACACATACACTGCATCTCTGACATACACTGCCGCCCTCACTCACATACTACAACCTTCACACACACACACTACTCACACACTGTCCCCCCCCCCACACACACACATACTGCACCCCTTACACATTGCACCACTCACACACACCACTGCTCATATGCCCTACTACAGCCCCATTTCCCAGCAGACCTCAGGTAAGTTGTCAAACTGTTCTTAAACGGTTTGACTACTTACTCTGGGAGGGGGTCCCGGCACTGTTGACACCATAACCACTACACTGAGCTGTAGTGGTTATTGTGTCTGGATTATTTCTTTAAATAATCTACAAGTGCCCCTCCCAAGATCAGGCTCTGGATCCGCCACTGAGTGGGGGACAGGGTTTGGTTGTCCACATGTCATATCAAACTCAAGGTTCCTTCTATGAAACTAGCTCCTCGATTCATAGGTCCCTTTCGTGTCCTCCGTCGTATAAACCCTGTGACTTATTCATTGGTACTCTCTGCTCATATGAGAATTGCTAATTCCTTCCATGTATCATTGCTTAAGCCCCTCACTTGCAATCGATACACAAAAATTATTGTTCCTCCTCCGCCCTTGGTAGTAGGTGATCAAGAGGAGTACGAAGTCCAAACTATTTTAGACTCCAGGTTCTCTAGAGGTGTTCTGTCTTATCTGGTTGACTGGAAGGGATATGACCCGGAGGAACGTAGTTGGGTTCTTGCGGACCGGGTTCATGCTCCCCGTCTTGTCCGGTCGTTTCACAACCGTTTTCCTCGCAAGCCGGCTCCTTCCCGCCCGGTGAGCGGTCTTCGAGTGGGGGGTACTGTCACGGCCCCCGGCTCGCCGCCATGTGCGTCCGTGCCCAACCGGCACGACCACACCAACTCACTGAGCTTACCTGCTCAGCGGCGAGCCAGGAACCGCTCCTCCACGCTGCTCGGGGAAATCCAAGATGGCGCCGACCATGAGGTCGCGTCCATCCATGGCTCCACCCCCCAAAATTATACGAACGTGCGCGTGACATCACAACGTCAAGGCACGCGCACGTTCTGGGGTCAGAGGTCACCCTCTGACCAATCAGAGCCTAGAGAGGGATATTTAAATCCCTAATTCACCCCAGTACCTTGCCCTGTCGTGGTTTCCTGTTCCTGGTTCCCTAGGGCAAGAAATATATATATTTTTTTTAAATAGCCTATAACAACCCCCTCCCCCACCTCCCACAACATATTATTGCCCACAACATATTATCAAAGGAGACTTATAAAGTTATTATTTTTTGTGAAGCCAGGCATTGGTTTATACTACAGAGTTCAATTAAACTGATTGTACATCCAAGAAGATCCTTATTGCCGTCTGGAAACTCCAAGAATATTTGATATTGTTGAATTGTAGAATGCTAGTCACAGAGGAGACTGTGTGTTAAGATCTAGTAAAGAAGGATAGATCTTGTAGGAATATATTTTTAAATTCATCTTCTTTGAGAGGCTTTGATCTGCTTGTTCGTAAAATACTCTCTTTGAATTGAAAGTACTGGAAATTGATCATTATACCCCTTGGCAAGTCAACTGGAGCCATTTTTGATCTAAAGACTCGGTGGCATCTTTCTATGTTTGCATTAAACTTTGTTAAATCCATTGATTCTGGAACATTTTTCATGTGCAGATTATTTCTATGTAAATGATCCTCTATATCTCCCATCTTTACTTCCAAGTTTTTTATTTGCTTGATCAGAGAGACAGAGAGAAATTTTGCTCACCTGGTGGAATTCTAGATTCACTAGTCTTTCTTCCACTGACTTGACTCTTTCTGACAGACAACTAATCTGATGCTTTGTTTCTTCTGTGTTTTTATATTTTTTTTTGGTTAGTTATTGTAGAATATTGCATATTCTATGTTTCTATTGATTATATATGGATGTGTGGATTGACATAACTAACAGATGGTATAAGTCACAAGGCTTTCTGTGTCCGAGAGCTCTGGAATGTGGATGTGAGGGTCTTGTCCTTATATGGCTAGAGTTAAATGCTGACGTTAGTATTAGCACATCTTTATAGTAACAGAGGGACACGAGGTCGCTCTCTCTTGGCTTGGCTCTTGTCTGTACAACGATGTAACTCTCCCATCAGAAGTACAGCAATTACCATCTGCTGTTGAATGTCCACTATCCTGTATCATCCTTTATTATGTTTTATTATGTATCCGTAACAAAGAATAAACCTGAAGAAACCGTAAGTCAGATTGCGTATTACTACTTTTCAATAATATAGACATATATTATTGTGGCGAGCATTTGGCCCAAGAATATATATACAAAAGACGTGTATATAAGTAGTGTTGGTAGATAAGAAGAAACTAAGAAGATTCAACATTAAAGATTCCCAAACTAGATTTTACAGTTATAGCCTCTAATTGTTCTTCCAAGCAGTTTTTCAGGAAGTCAATGGTAATGTGTGTTCCATTGGAGCTATGTGCGCTAACTGGTGAATCTTCTAAGCAGAACAACGACAATGAAGATTCCTCCATTTTGTTTTTCTTTTTGAGGCTTATTAACTGGGGGAAAAAATTGTGGTTCCTTTATCAGCTTTAGAGGTAGTTTCTTCTTGCGTCTTTGAAGCCATACTTCGAACGCTGCTTGTTTTTAAGATCAGACCTGGTTTCTTCTGATGTATGTGTCATTCAGCTAGGAGTACGACTCCTGTAGTGGCATTCACACACACAAAAAAAAAAATTAACACCAGCTAATTTCCGTTGCTGTTGAAATTATACAATAGTAGTTTCTCAAAGAGCACAATACTTATACTGTTCTTTAAAGTTCCTTCTTTCTTATATAGAACGTACAAATAGCTTCTAGTTTAAACCATATAGTGTTACAAATTCAGATTCACTCATATTGCAATTTTTTGTTCTTATCTATTTATTACAGAATATATAAAAATCAATAAAAAAGTATTTCTAGAAAATAAAAAATAATAGATAAGAACAAAATATTGCAATATTTTGTTCTTATCTATTATTTTTTATTTTCTAGAAATACTTTTTTATTGATTTTTATATATTCTGTAATAAATTCCCTTATTTTATATAATCCACTGTATCCAGCACCAGTGATTCCAGGGAAGGGGCAGTGTCACCCCATAAACTGACACTAGGCCTATATACTTAGAGCCAGTTACCAAAAGGCTCTAAACAAGGTGAGCACTTTAAATTACTATTTAAGTGTATAAAAATATTACAAAGGATGCTACACTTAGTTCGATAATTCTGTGTCTTCTATATACGCTGTGGAGAGGAAAATACACACTCTACCTTGGAGAGAGGGGTCGTGTGATCTACCCTTAAAGACACAGACGCACGGAAGTTTAGAGCCTAATTCACTTGAAAAGGCTCTAAAAAATGTGAGTGTAGATATATCTGTTACTCACTCAAGTTTTCACTATAGTATTTAACATACTGCACAATTATCTGTATATATTTCTGTTTTCTTTTGTATGTACATTACATTGGAGAATATAAAGGATAATTGCCTTTGAATCACAGGTAATTCACTGTGCTCTCACATATAACTCAGCGCTGCACTCTTAAAGATAGAAGACCTAAAGGGTGGTAACACCCATTAGGCCTGAAGTCTTTTTTGTATCTAGGAGCTATTAACAGTTTAATTGATACGCTTTTATGAAGAAGTGGGTTTTTAACGCTTTTTTGAAGGAGTGGAGACTGGGTGAGCATCTAACGGAGGAGGGAAGCGAGTTCCACAGGAACGGTGCAGCCCTCGAGAAATCTTGAAGGCAAGCATCAGAGGTGGGAGTACGGACAGAAGATAGACGTAAGTCTTCAGCAGATCGTAAGGGCCTAGATGGGACATACTTGTGTATAAGGGAGGATAGATAGGTGGGAGCAGCATTATGTAGAGATTTAAAAGATTTACATTCATTATGGACTGTAACGGCGCAAGTTGGGAGCACGTCGGACCACTGAGAAGCGGATTACAGTAGTCAAGGCGAGAAATACAGTGGAATGGACCAACACCTTAGTCGCATCTGGCGTTAAGTAGGGGCGGATGCGCGCAATGTTTTTGAGATGAAAATGACAGGATTTGGCGATAGATTGAACATGACGCTTGAAGGAGAGGTCGGAGTCAAAGAGAACACCTAGGCAGCCAGCCTGCGCGGTGGAACTGATGTTAGCACCGTTGACTTGGAGGGAGACAGACACAGGAGTAACAACACTTGAGGGAGGAAAGACCAGAATTTCAGTTTTGGTCAAGTTTAGTTTAAGGAAGTGGGCAGCCATCCAGTTAGAAACAGCAGAGAGGCAGTCAGAGACACTAGTCAAGAGGGACGGGGAAAGATCAGGAGAGGACAGGTAGATTTGCGTGTCATCCGCATAGAAATGATATTGGAAGCCAAAGGAGCTAATGAGTTTACCAAGGGAGGCAGTATAGATGAAGAACAGTAGGGGACCAAGGACTGAACCTTGGGGGACACCAACAGAGAGGAATTGGGGAGAAGAAGCAGAGCCAGAGAAAGAAACATTGAAATAGCGCTGGGAGAGGTAGGAGGAGCACCAGGAGAGAGCAGTATCTTGTAGACCGAAATTGCGGAGGATGAGAAGAAGCTGTTGGTGATCAACAGTGTCAAAAGCCGCAGACAGGTCAAGGAGAATTAGGATAGAGTAGTGACCACGAGATTTTGCAGCGAGTAGATGATTGGATACTTTGGTCAGTGCCGTTTCCCCAGAGTGCTTAGCGCGGAAACCAGACTGAAGTGGGTCTAGCAGAGAGTTGGACTCGAGGAAGTCTGTCAATCTCACATACACAATTTTTTCAAGGTCAGTTGCTGATTATGCTGTTGAATTCTGTATGTTATCTTCGGAGGTATCGTGGAATAACAACTCCCTCCTTATTGCCTTTACAGAGGGTCTGTTTGATACCTTGCTGGATGAGTTAGCAACCAGGGGTCTACCTGATCAGTTAGAGGAGTTGATTTCCTACACATCCCATATAGACAGGAGAATCAGGGAGAGGAGAAAAACTAGGGATGCTACCAAACTAGCAACTACATGTATTAACCCAGCGATACATGCACCAGAACCTGTACAATTAGGTTCTGCTAGGTTATCGGAGGAGTAAAAATCATATCGACTTAGAGAGTGGTTATGTCTTTACTGTGGGAAAAAAGGACACCTCAGAAAATTTTGCCCTTCTAGGCCGGAAAACTTGCACACCTAAGTCCTAGTAGGGGACTGGCCTTGGGTGTTAACACTTTGTCCCCTATAACACCTCACACTTGCTTCCTTCTACCTATAACCTTAAAAATTGGGTTCTTAGGGGGGCGTGGCTTCGGACCGCATGGAAAAGGTTGCATAAGCGGTGAGCTCCGCCATACCGTGGGCTTCACAGCGTGATACCCCAGCAAACCAGCCACTGAAAACGGCCCTACCAGGCACTACCATCACCCGGAACAAGATGGCAACGAAAATGTCAAAAAAAATGAAACAAAAAACGATCGAATCACACCTGAATTTGCAGCAAGCAACCCCTATGCAAATCCAAGATGGCGCCAGAGACACCGGATCCCCCACACTGGAACCTGAGGTAGGAGACAGCCAAAGCAGCTTTCAAAGCACAGATATAACACCTGCCACAGATGCATCAATAAGTACAATGCTGGAAAGGCTTAAAGCAGCCCTATGCTCTGATATACAAAAAATGGCATCTGATATCAGAACTGACATCCAGGCACTGGGGGACAGGACAGCACACTTGGAAGAAAAAACAGAGGGTCTACTAGAAGCGCACAATGACCTAGCAGAGGCGCATGTAGCGCTGGAAAATAAGGTCAAATACTTAGAGGGGAAGAGTGCAGATAATGAGGACCGAGATAGAAGAAACAACATTAGGATTCGTGGAATATCCGAAAATGTGGGTCCACAAGACCTCACACATTATGTACAGAAGCTGTTTAAATCTATGATCCCAATACTAACAGAAGCCGACCTCCGACTTGACAGAACGCACAGACTGCCCAAGCCACGACATCTGGCTGCAACCACCCCCCGAGATGTTATCACTAGAATCCACTACTTCTCGGTCAAAGACCAAATAATGCAGGCCTCTAGGCTGAATATACCCCTTCCTGACGGATATACAGACATTAAATTGTTCATAGACCTATCAGCGGCCACCATGTTTAAAAGAAGATCATTTGCACCTATAACAACGGCTCTCCGAAACGCAAACATATTGTATAAATGGGGATTCCCTACAAAACTAATCATCAAAAGAAATGGAATAGATCGAGTAATCCTGACACCGGAAGAAGGCAGGAAAATTCTGAGTGAGTGGAACGTCCCTGTCCCAACAACTGACCCAAGAAGTTCGGACACGCCACCACCCCGTAAAGTGGCGAGAGACTGGCAGCACGTTCCATGGATCACGACAACCCCTCAAAGCCGAAGAAATCCTCATCCCTAAGCCCTCTCCGTCTGCGCACATGGACACGTAACTTTACTAATTAATCTGGTTTCATGTTTAACAGGTTGAATGTGTGTAAGAATGTGCTGATGTATTGCACGTCTCTGACGCAACAATGACAAAAAAAACAAACAAAAAAACAACAAAATAAGCCCACGGTGGGCGTTAGGCCACTGCTAACTGTATAACTGCTGTTTTAGCTTTATAACTGCTTCCCTTTTTTTTTCCTCTCTTTCTTTTTCTTTACCTCTTCTTTCCTCATCTCCACCTTCTACACGAGGTGGACACTGGCTATCACAAATTACTCACATAAAACCCACTAACCCCCACGCAAGGCCTCCTAGGTAGGCCCCCACGTACCCATCTGCAAATCCTTGCACTAAGCCCGAGAGGCTAAAGGGCAATTGTACATAGTTTACTTTCCCCCCAACCCCCCTCGATTGACCGGCAGGTCACCCTTCCACAGTTTAGGTAACATCCCAACAAACCTGTGTTCGTCCCACCCCACCAACTGATCTAGTCGGTGATCAAACCATAACACGTAGGGAAAACTGTACCATGCCGCTAAAATTTCTCTCGCTTAATACCAAAGGCTTAAATTCGCCTAACAAACGTAGATTGGCCCTCCAGGAGGCCAAGAAACAAGGAGCACAGGTGGCATTTGTTCAGGAAACTCACTTTCAGTGGGGATCCAAACCCAGGTTTAACTCTGCTTGGTTCCCAGTAGACTACCACACGTGCTACCACAAAAAAAAAAGAGGTGTATCGATATTAATACATAAGAATGTTGTTTTTGAACTTGTACGAAAAATAAGTGACAAAAAGGGTAGATACCTTATATTACAATGTCGTATGAACAATCAACCGTATACATTGATAAATGTCTATTGCCCTAATGAAAACCAACAAGTATTTATAGCTAACATGTTCTCTCTCCTGTCAATGTACAGTTTTGGGGAGGTAATCCTTGGAGGCGACACTAATTTTCTCCTAGACATCAATATGGACTCCTCCGCCGCGAGAACGGTAACCACATCTACTTCAAAACAGAGACACACACAAACATCCAACATCCGCAGAATACTAACGACACAAAACTTTGTAGACCCATGGAGAATATCCCACCCAGCTGAAATTGATTACACATGCTACACCGCTGCACACAGTAGCTACTCCAGAATTGACAGATTTCTAATAAAGAACACATCACTAGAGAGAATGATAAGCGCAGAAATCGGTATCATATCATGGTCAGACCATGCTCCTATCACTCTGACTATATCTGAACAATGCCCCTTCCCTGGCCAAACCGCCTGGAGACTAAATGAATCTCTACTCCAGGATCCAGTCATAGTATCCCAAATTAGGACAGACCTCCAAAACTACTTCACTGAAAATGTTCACCCCGACACACCGCCAAATTCTGTATGGTTAGCACACAAAGCAGTGATCAGGGGCAGTTTTATAAAACACGCAAGTCACGCCAAAAAAGTACGCCAAGCTCAATACCTAGGAATCATCCAAGAAATAACTGCACTAACACATAGAAACAAATGCTCACCATTGGCCACGACCAAGACAGCTCTCCTGCAAGCTCACACTAAATTACAAAACTTTGAACTGGCCAAAACCACATATCTACTACAGAAATACAAACACAGATACTTCGCCTATGGCAACAGAGCAGGAGCAAAACTAGCCTCACAGCTCAAACAAAGATCAGCCGCCTCCAGGATTGCCTTCCTAAACACAAATACTGGCCAGAAAGTTAGCGACCCGAACAAAATTGTAAACGAATTCTCCACATATTATCACAAACTGTATAACCTGAGTGAAGACGGAGGAGTGAAAGTCCCCATGCTTGCAGATATTGACAATTTTTTAGCAACTGTTCACCTCCCATCCCTATCATCAGATAGAATACAACAACTCAAACAACCGATATCCCATGAAGAAATATCTAAAGCCATAGCTGACTTGCCCTCACACAAATCCCCAGGACCAGATGGCCTACCAAATAGATACTATAAAGAATTCTCTAACCTACTACTCCCCCACCTCCTAAACCTATACCAACACAGTTTAGACACGGGAGCCCTGCCAGCGGAACTACTGTTAGCTCATATCTCGACATTACCCAAACCAGGCAAACCACCCACCACCTGCAAAAACTTCAGACCAATCTCCCTTCTAAATGGGGATGCCAAACTATATGCGAAAATATTAGGTAACAGGCTCACGGCCATAATAAGCGAACTAATACACAACGATCAATCAGGGTTCGTCAAGGGGCGACAAGGCTCCGATAACACGCGAAAAATTCTTAACATACTAGCTACCATGGAGAGGGGGTCGGTCGGAGGCCTCCTGCTAGCACTCGATGCGGAGAAGGCCTTCGACCGGCTAAATTGGGCTTATATGCAGAAAGTATTACAAAAATTCGGCTTCCCAGACGAATTTATCAAAGGGATTATGGCGCTATATGTGAAACCGGCGGCCAAGGTGGCCCATGGTGGCTTCCTCTCAGCCCTCTTCTATATATCCAATGGGACATGACAGGGATGCCCCCTATCCCCCCTACTCTACATATTATCCCTCGAACCGCTAGCACAAAAAATAAGAAATGACGAACGCATACAAGGCGTCAAAATCTTAGGCAAGGAATATAAACTAGCGCTCTTCGCAGATGATATCTTAATCACACTAGAAAACCCTCAAACATCGGTGTCCCCCCCCCGATGGAGACCTTAGAAGGATTCGGGGACGTATCACACTACCGTCTAAACCAAGACAAGACGCAAGCACTACCCATCAAACTCCCCTCCTCCACCACAGCTGTGCTCAAAGACAAATACCTCTTTGATTGGAGGACAACCTCACTTACTTACCTTGGCATAAAAATTGCACCTTCCATAGCAGAAGTATTAAAAGTAAATTATCTCACACTCCCACAACAATGCAAGAATGAAACACACAAATGGTCACAAACGCACATTTCCTGGTTAGGCAGAATAAATGCGTATAAAATGGCGATCCTACCAAAAATACTTTATATATTCAGAATGCTCCCTCTACAAGCACCAAAAACACTTATAAAAACACTACAATCCATATGTAATGCGTTCATATGGGAACACAAAAAACAACGCGTTGCAAGTGCGATACTATATAAACACTCAAAACATGGTGGAGTGGGATTACCCAACATAGATCTGTACTTTAAGGCATCTGCCTTAGCAACAGGGATACTGCTCCATACTACTGAGGGGACCATACAATGGGTGGACATGGAAAGAGCCCAGTTCAGCAACAACTCGGCACTAGCACATTTGTGGACACCACGAAAATTAAGGTCGTTAAAATCTGATCTCTTACCCACAACAAAATATACTATCCAACTATGGACAACATTTCTAGAAAAGGTGGGGGATAAAAATAAATTCCAAGCAGAGGCACCATTGACGGCCTTGAGGGCTATCACGCCAGACATACGCTTACACAAGTGGTCGTCGGCAGGAATAACACACATACACCAATTGCTTAAATCCCAAAAAATTATGACATTCCCCGACATACAACACAAATGGGAACTTCCCAATGACGCTATCTTTACATACCTACAACTTAAGGGAATCATTACCGCACATGTAAGCAACCAACATTCAAACCATGCTCAAATATCTCTACCAACAAAGGCAATCATAGAGAGGTGCTGGAAACACCCCACGAAACCAAAAACTATTTCCCTATGCTATAAAGCATGGGAAGACACTACACCTAAGATATCACCACATTGCAAAACTCTGTGGGAACTAGACTGTGCCATTCAACTCACAAACGAAGACTGGCTACATGTACTAAACGACCTATCTAAATGGACAAAATGCTACACACACATAGAAGCACACAGAAAGCTCATGTACAGATGGTACCTAACCCCACACAAACTTCACAAAATATACCCAAACACGACTCCTCTATGTTGGAGATGTTCCGCAGCGGAGGGCACACTTATACATGTCTGGTGGGAGTGCCCCAACATCCAGCCCCTATGGACAGAGGTACACAATACGATCAGAGCACTCCAAATCCCAGATACCCAAAAGACACCCGACACATATTTACTTTTGAGATTTCCTCCGACACTCCGAAACTCACACAAACAGCTGTGTGCCATTATCACTCTAGCGGCTCGCAGCCTACTGGCCCTCCACTGGAAATCCACAACTTGCCCAAACAAAACCCAACTACGGGACAAAATACACCAATTCTACATCTACGAAAAAATGGCCGCTCCTGACACCAAAACGGCACAGAGGTTTAGCACAACATGGTCACTATGGATAGAACTATACAACCGGCATATGTAAGGTGGAACTGTAAGGTCAGGGACATCCGCTATCCCCCTACACTCATTACCAGTAACCATATGTGTGACCTACGATAGAGCATAAGAACGCATACAAGTACCCACCACCTGGTGAACACAAGCCGGCCAGATGTCGGGCTGGCCATATGAGCAATGATTGTATAACCGACTATGCAGGCCGCTCTATGTTACCTAACTGTATACGCTCCCAACCGTACCCCAACATTAATGTTGTACCTGTTATTTGTACTGCCTTGATATACTACTCTAAATTGTATTACTGGTTCAAACTGTATCATTGATGACAAAATTTCAATAAAAAATATATTGAAAAAAAAAAAAATTGGGTTTTTACACTCCTCAGACGCAGGCATTATTAGACTCTAGTGCTGCCGAGAGTTTAATTGATTTAGCTTTTGCCACCAAGCTAAACGTACCCCTTAAAGAAAGAGACAAACCCTTAGCCGTTGAGGCCATAGAAGGTAGGTAGCTCAATTCTAGAGCCTACAATCACAGAGATCTTATCACTGACAGTTGGACTCTAACACCACTAGATAATAGTGTTACAGGTCATTACTTCACCTTCTGCTCCTATAGTGTTAGGATTTCCATGGTTGTACACACATAACCTTAGCATTGATTGGCAGAGAAGTGATATAATTTCTTGAGGCTCTACATGCAGGAACTCTTGCCTTCAGAACATCTTACCTGTTCATACCCTTAACGTGCCCACAGCTCAACCTTTATCTACCAGTGTACCAGATCAATATGCAGACCTTAAAGAGGTATTTGATCAAAAGGAGGCTGAGAAGTTTCCTCCTTACAGGTCATATGATTGTACCATTAAGCTCCTTCCAGGTTACATGCCACCTAGATCTATCCTCTATCTCCTCAAGAAAATTAGGTAATGGAGGAATAAACCCAATTCTCTCTAGTCAAAGGTTTTATCGGAAGGTCATCCTCTCCTGCTGGAGCAGGTTTCTTTTTTGTCTTTAAAAAAGAGAGGGACCTTAGACCTTGTATCAACTACCGAGGGTTAAATCGTATAACAGTTAAAAATACATATCTGATTCCTCTGGTTACTGAGCTGTTTGACAAACTACATGGTTCTACTGTATTCACCAAACTGGATCTCAGGGGGGCTTATAATCTGGTCAGAATCCGCCATGGTGATGGCCTTTAACATCAGAAGTGGGCAATATGAATATACTGTCATGCCTTTTGGCTTATGTAATGCTCCGGCCGTCTTCCAGGATCTCATGAATTATGTTCTTGTTCTTGTATATTTGGATGATATTGATACATTCATCAGATATCAAGACACATCACATGTGTGTCCATAAAGTACTGTCAATACTTTAGAAAAAAGCTCGAAAAGTGTATCTTTGATCAAGAGAGTGTGCAATTCCTTGGTTACATTGTTAATTCTAAAGAATTATAAATGGATGTCTCTCATTTCCCTATGATCCCAAAGAATTTTGGCTCTACTCGAGTGGCCCATTCCTCATGGCTTTAAAGCCATTCAGAGATTTATAGGCTCTGCCAACTATTATAGACGGTTCATCCACAACTTTTCCTCCATCATCATCTCCAGCATCTGTCACTGCCTTGACAAAAAAAGGAGTCCCTAAAGTTTGGACTCAAGACACACTCAATTTATTCAAAACACCCAAACATTCCTTTTTTTGTCTTTATTTTTGGTAGTGCATGTTTAACACATGTCTAACATAAGCTTTTGTAGACATTATTACACGAGCATACATAATGTGTTTGAAGTCAGAGATCATATAACATCTGAGGAACTGTACTTTTTTATAACATCATGCTGGTCTACAATGATTTAGAGACATAAACATGTTTACATTACTTAATGCAATTAAATCAAATATGCGTCAGGAGAATAACCCTGGCGAATACAATTCCAGTAGTATGCCCTGACTAATTCTGCTGGATAATGCCTTGCTTTCTATATTGGGGGCAGAGGCATAACTAGAAATCCCAGTGTGAAAATTACCCTGGGGTCCCGTATGTGTCTCATTTCCCTATGTGTCTCATTCTCTCAACCCCAGCCCCTCCATGTGTCAGCCTCCCCTCCCTTACAGCTTCTCAATTTCTCTCTACCCCACCCTTTCCCTGCAGCCCCTCTATTTCTCCCCCCTTGAGGCCCATCCATTTCTCTCTCTCCCTTCCCCTGCAGACATTCTATTTCCCCCCTTTCCATGCAGAACTTTTTTACCCATTTTACCCCCCTTCCCCTGCAGACCCTCCATTTCTCTCCCCCCTTGCAGACCCTCCGTTTCCCCATTCCCTGCACACCCTCCATTCCCCCCTGCAGACCCTCCATTTCTCCCCTTACCCTGCAGACCCTCCATTTCTCCCCTTATCCTGCAGACCCTCTATTTCTCCATTCCCCCCTTCCCATGGAGACTCTCCATTTCCCCATTCCCCCTTGGCCTGCAGACCCTCCATTGCTCCATTCCCCCTGCAGACCCACCATTTGTCCCCCCATTCCCCTGCACACCCTCCAATCCCCCCCTTCCCCTGCAGACCCTCCATTTCACCCCTCTTCCCCTGCACACCCTCCATGTCTCCATTCCCCACTTACTTGATTGTCGCAATTGCGGTACCCATCTAAGTCTGACAGGAAGTGCTCTCTCAGTGAGCACTTCCTGTCAGACCACTCGGCCGCGCTACACACAGCGGCAGGAGGGGAGCAGCACAGCACATAGCTCCCCTCCTTCCAGTTAGCCTGCGACCACGCGCGGGTCCCGGCCAGTGCTGCTGTGCACCGGTCCTAAAGGTCTGCTGGTGGCCCACGGTCACAGTGGCAGCCGGGCCTCCTGGAGTGACGGGCCTGGTCGCAGCTGTAGTTACTGGTTGGGGGGTAATATAAAACAAGTCAAAACATAGAGACATAGACTCTCAAGAGATTAAACAGTATACACTGTTAGACCAGCAATATTAGGTCACGTCTCACTAGATATAGTGTATTGACAAATCAGCACACATTTTAAATGTAATAAATACGAACAAGATAAACATGGTGCAGGTAAGGCAGCATTTTAGTTTTGCAAAAGTGTGGGCTTTTGGCACTGAGAGTGGCTGAAAATGAAAGAAAACCTCCAGAGGCCTCCTAGGCTAACTAGTTGCGAGAACCACAGTGACTCAAAAAGAGAAACGATATGGAAAACCACAGGGCTGAAAAATTATAAGAGAGAACATAAGTTTACTTTCCACCCAGCATGTAGTGGTGATTATGTACTACGCTGGAGAGTTAATTTCAGACGAAGCCCCGCTGGGGCAACACAAAGTCTAGTAATGAGTGTCCCGAAGTCAGGTCTAATAGCCCACCTGAGTGTGGACATGTGGCAATGTCATAGGAGTAAGGCAGGCCTGTGGTAGTTCCCTGAGATGTCGAGACTCCATGCAATGTGGGGTGTATGCCCAGTGGCATCTGCGAGCCGTGCTGCAGCCGGCAACTAGATTTGGGGTGCTTCGCAGGCACAAAACACCCGGCTATGTTAGATATAGTTAATATAATAACCCTCCCAAAACCCGTGAAACAGAAGTGCAAATCTTAGGCCCATTTCCCAGTTGAATGCAGACACGCAAATATTTGAAAATGCGATTGCGCGCTGATTGAAACACGTTCCCAAACTTAATAGCACTGAACAGGCTGGGAGGCAGGTGGGTGACAATACCTGACAGTTCCTTGCCTTACTAGAACTACTGAGCAGAAAAGGGGAGGAAGGCCTGATAGTAGCATTGGGGATACATGGCAACTGTGCTGAAGAGATTTGGCTTTCCATAAAAATGTTTGTGTAGTATCCTTATTCTATACACTACACCTACAGCTAGGATCATGAATTTAGGGTTTATTTCTCAGACCTTTAGTCTAACTCACGGAACTAATCAGGGGTGTCACATTTAATTTTTATATTGGCACTCGAACTCCTGGTGCATAAAATCAAAAGATACACAGACATAACTGGACTGACCATGCAGGTGAGGACTCTGAAGTTGGCCTTCATTGCAGAAAAATGGGTTGGAAGGATCAACTCCTTGGTGAAAATGTATATACTGCCACTGATATTATATACTTTTTTTAGAACACTTCCAATAGGCATTCCAAAAACAATACTGGTAAATTTTCAAAATTATTTAATGCTCACATTTGGAGACGCAGACCACCAAGAGTGTTGCTCCAAGTTATGAGTTGTGCAATGATTGAGTGAGGGCTGGGGTGCCCAACATATACAAATATTATATAGCTGCAATACTAGCCCAAACTGCAGCACTGAGTGGAACCTCCACCCTGCCACTATTTAGCTATTATCTATGTTGGACCTTATATGGGTACACAATGGCAAATAGCCATGCAGTGTCAACCCTCTATCTACCAAATGTCTTTCACTGTAAACATGGAGGACCTTTTGCCACCTAGGGTTTCCACACTGAAAACTTAGCGCAGTGCAGGGATACTTAGAGTTCAGCATGTTTTGATCGTGGGGGAGAATGTGTTCCTTCCCAGAGTTCCAGGCTAGGTTTGCACTCCCTGCCAATTACCTTTTTCAAGTACATACATATGAAGCATATTGTGGCTCCTTTTAAGCCAACAACATTACAAATGACCCTGCTTCAGGACGTTGAGAAGTTGTGTATAGGTAAACCAGGGAGAGGTAAAACCCTTTCTGTCTGTTGAAAGACGCTGATGTGCGTTTCCCTACCAGATACATTATCATATATGCGCCAATGGGAGGAGGAACTAAATTGTACATTAGAGGTGCCACAATGGCACAAGGCAATGCATACGTTAAAATGTTCAATGCATATCCCATATAGAAGCAGTTCATAAAATTTGGCTCAGGTGGTTCCTGAACACGGTAAAACTGGCACATATATACCCTGGGCACGTCGCCAACATGCTGGAGGTGCAAAAATTACAGGGGGTCCCTGAGTCATATTTTATGGCAATATAAAGAACTAGATGACTTCTGGGCTCAAATTTATTTACTGATACAAGGTGATGGGTTTATCTTTACCAAAAAACACAAGAATCAATACTAATTACCTATTTTCTTTTAGCAGAAAAAAACTTAACTACCCTCTGGAAGAGTGCACAGACGCCCACGGTAGATGGAGAAAAAATTGTATCTAACATGAAATTCTACAAGGAAATGTCATACAGCAAGCATGTCAAACTTGTAGCCCATAGGTCGTATGCCGCCCACAATAACTATCTTTGTGGCCTGCCTCTCCTGGAGCAACTTTGTGCTGTGGCTGTGACCAGCTGCAAGACAGGAAATATCTTTCCTGTCTGCACAGCGACTGTGCATCGCGTGTTCCGGCGACCGCAAGAGCGCTGAGCATTAGTCCATGCCGGCCACCAGTTATACACATACAGTGTGTGAAGTCATATCCGGCAGCTGCAGTGAGCAGAGTGGATTTCTGTCTGCAGAGCAGGACAGCCACTCCTCCTTCCATCCTGCTCGCAGTGCCAGTGTCTAACCTGTTTGAGCAGAGAAGGGAAGGGCTGGAACTGGAGGATGGGTGGCTCATCTTAAGGTAGGGGAAGAGGGGCTTGGGGGATCTTCCTGTTTAGTGTTTTAAATTCTGGAGGAGGGGAGGGGCTTAAATTGAGGAAGTGAGTGGGCACTGTATTAAATTGCGGGAGGGATGGGGGCAGTGTATTAAATTGGGAGGGGGAGGAGGAAGTGTATTAGAGTGGTGGGAGGGGGAGTAGTGTGTTAAATTAGGGGAGGAAGGGCAGTGTATTGAATTAGAGTGTTGGGAGTGGGGGCAGTGTATTAGATTGGGGGAGGGGTCAGTGTATTAGAGTTGATGGAGGGTGAGCTGTGTATTAGATTGGGGTGGCTGTGTATTAGAGGGGGGCACTGTACTAGAATGGGGGGAGGGGACCGTGTATTAAATTGGGTCTCCATAGAGGATCTGAACTCTCCTCATGGAGATGCTGACTGGCTGCGCAGCTTTTTGACACACATGCACAGTAGCCTCCCAAGGCATTCCTATGGCAAAGAATTGAATTTGCTGAGATCATCACGTTTGATGATCTCAGCCAAAGTGAAGAACACACTCATAGGACTTCAAAATCTACAAGATAACGTAATTTGGGTTTTTTTACAGCTGTGTAACAGCATACATTCACAATTTCAGTCCCATTACCAAACTTTTCTAAATACGTCTCCTTAAAATAAATGTGCTTTTTAAATGTGCTCTTTTGTTTACTTTGAAGCACTACGAGCGTGAGGACGTCCAGTGTCAGTTAGGCAACTTTTGTTATACTGTACTTTTCAAAATAAACCTACCTAGTTTTTCTACGAAAACTGAAGTTTTTGGTTTCTTGCAACCCACATGAAGTCAGACCTTAATTATTTGGCTCATGTTAGCCTTTTACGTTTGACATGCTTGTCCTACAGGCTTGCAGGGCTCAGTTCCAGATTTGAGACAGAGTGGGGGAATGAGTATTTGAACAGAATTCAATTGAACAAGGGGGGCCTTGAAGGGATGGGCCAGCGGTGGGCTTGCCCTTCTAAGTTGCAGTACAACATATAACAATACCACGACAATACTCACAATGGATGTGTAGAAACTGAACAGTGATGTATATGGAGAACCTTGTCGGCTCTTCTTTTATTTCTCACTTCATTTTCTTTTGTTCATTTTTTTGTTTCTTTCTTCCTTCAGTATGTTAAATTGTACATGTACATGTATTGATGCAAAATGCCTTGTAACAGATGTAGCTGTAGGGGCAGTCGAGTGACACTATCGTATTATACTAGGTTGATTGGATGATGTAATGCGGATATGATGGCTGTCTCCACTCATGTTGCAAATGTAACTTATGCAATACCACGTGATACCCTTGTATGTTTAAAAACACAATGTAATATTTGTATTCTATGCCTGTACTGTTTTGTATTAAAAAAAGGAATTAAGCAAACGGGTTGACTGCTTACGTTAGAGGTAATCAGGGAATACCTGGAACCATAATCACCACAAAACACTTTAAAGGTTATGGTGCTTAGAGTGTTCCTTTAATAATGGTATTTTTCTGTATTTTTTAGATTTCAAAACCAAATGAATTTGACATCATGCTGAAGATACCAGTACAACGAGTTGATTTGATAGACCTTGATAAAAGTGGTGCTTTTTATAAATTTACATTTAAAAGACTACCAAAAAATAATACATGGGACAAGTATGCAGATGCGATATCAAGGTTTATTTCTCCCAACAAAATAATGGCTGAATTACGAGATATTATTGAAAATATTATAAAGTCAGGTAAGATATTAATTTTCTATTTGGATAAAACTGATCTCTTCTTTAAATATCCTTCTGTACTTGTCATAAATCTTCATATTGCGCGTGACTGGAGATGATCACATTAGCATTTCCCATCCACCGTAGTGTAAGCATAATTGCTATATTTTCAGCAAATACATATCGTAAGACACTTTATGAATTTTCACCAAGCAACCATCAAATCACTTAAAATTCCATTGGATAGATCAGACTTTCAGATTTTTCTTTCAAGTTTAATAAAGATCTAATTAAATGTCAAACGTTGCTGTTTATGTTCTGGTTCTCCAACTAAATCTGCTACGTATGTACCTTGAGTGCCTGAATCACATTTCTTTTTAGACCTGGGGCGTACCTAGAGCATTTGGCAAACGGGCAGATCTTGTATTTGGCTCCCCACCCCAACTTTAAAACGTAAAACACATCCGCAATCCTTTTTAATGTTTTCAGGAATATATTGCACAAATTTGTAAGCTGCATGTTAGAAACAGTCCCCTCAAGGCCCCTGTATAGACTACAATAGAGTTTTACAGGCACTGGAAAGATGTCTCTCTAACACTCTGGTCCCTATTCGCAATATAGTAATATAACATAGCTCTCTGATACCCAGCCCAAGTTGTCTGTTCTCACCTTAATTACTGTTGCTGGCTGCTATAAATGGTTGGCAGACCTTCATCTTCCCCCAGCCTCTTTGTGCATCTGTTTCTCCCCCTTTGTCTGTGTCTTTTCCCCCTTACCCTGCGTGTGTCTCTCCCCCCAAGCCTTTCTGTGTGCCTCTTTGACCCCCCCAGCCCCATTGTCTATTTCTTCCCTCAGCCCCTTTGTGCAAATGTTTTTCCCCTTGCCCCTTTGTGTGTCGCTTTGTCCCCACAGCACTTCAGTGAGTCTCCTTGCCCCCCCTTAACCTCTCTGTGTACCTCTTTGTATCTCCCAGCCATTTGTGTGTCTCATTGTGCCTCCTAACCCTCTGTGTGTATTTGTCCACAAGCCTTTCTGTGTCTGTTTGTCAACATCCCCTCTTGTGTCCTTTCTTTGCCCCTCCCCCCCCACCCCCCCCATAGAAACATAGAATGTGACGGCAGATAAGAACCATTCGGCCCATCTAGTCTGCCCAATTTTCTAAATACTTTCATTAGCCTTATCTTATAGTTAGGATAGACTTATGCCTATCCCATGCATGCTTAAAATCCTTTACTGTGTTAACCTCCACCACTTCAGCTATTCCATGCATCCACTACGCTCTCAGTAAAGTAATACTTTCTGATATTATTTTTAAACCTTTGCCGCTCTAATTTAAGACTATGTCCTCTTGTTGTGGTAGTTTTTCTTTTTTTAAATATGGTCTCCTCCTTTACTGTGTTGATTCCCTTTATTTATTTAAATGTTTCTATCATATCCCCCCTGTCTCATCTTTCCTCCAAGCTATACATGTTAAGATCCTTTAACCTTTCCTGGTACGTTTTATCCTGCGATCCATGAACCAGTTTAGTAGCCCTTCTCTGAACTCTCTCTAAAGTATCAATATCATTCTGAAGATACGGTCTCCAGTACTGCATATAATACTCCAAGTGAGGTCTCACCAGTGTTCTGTATAATGGCATGAGCACTTCCCTCTTTCTACTGCTAATACCTCTCCTTATACAACCAAGCATTCTGCTAGCATTTCCTGCTGCTCTATTACATTGTCTGCCTACCTTTAAGTCGTTAGAAATAATCACCCCTAAATCCATTTCCTCAGATGTTGAGGTTAGGACTCGATCAAATTTCTGTACTCTGCCCTTGGGTTTTTACGTCCAAGATGCATTATCTTGCACTTATCCACATTAAATGTCAGTTGCCACAACTCTGACCATTTTTCTAGTTTACCTAAATCATTTGCCATTTGGCTTAACCCTCCTGGAACATCAGCCCTGTTACATATCGTATCATCAGCAAAAGACATACCTTACCATCAAGACCTTTAGCAATATCACTAATAAAATATTAAAGAGAATGGGTCCAAGTACAGATCCCTGAGGAACGCCACTGGTGACAAGCCCAAGCTTCGAATATACTCCATTGACTACAACCCTCTGCTGCCTGTCATTCAGCCACTGCCTTACCCATTCAACCATATTGGAATCCAATCTTAAAGATTGCAATTTATTGATAAGCCGTCTATGTGCAATGGTTTTGCTAGTACACCACTAAGCTCTTTTAATAACTTTGGGTGTATTCCATCAGGTCCCATTAACTATTTTTTCTTTACTTTTGACAGTTGAAATAGAACCTCTTCCTCTGTAAACTCACATGTAATAATTGACTCATTTGTGCTTTTTCCTAACTGAAGTCCCTTTCCTTCATTTTCATCTGTAAATACTGAACAAAAAATATTAATTGAGGCAGTCAGCTAGACCTTTATCCTCTTCTACATACATTCCTTCTTTTGTTTTTAATCTAACTAATCCTTGTTTTACTTTCCTTTTCTCATTTATGTATCTAAAAAATGTGTTGTCCCCTTTTTTTACTGACTGTGCTATTTTCTCTTCTGTTTGTGATTTGGAAACTCTTATAACTTGCTTAGCCTCTTTCTGCTTAATCTTATAGATCATTCTGTCTTCCTTACTCTGTTTTTTTTTTTATAATTACTAAATGCTAACTTTTTGTTTTTTATTATTTTGGCCACATCTCCAGAGTACCACAGTGGTTTCTTGAATTTTTTGCTTTTACTGACAAGCCTAATGTAATTTTCTGTTGCCTTCAGCAGTGCAACTTTTAAATAATCCCATTTCTCTTGGACTCCATTTAAATTGCCCTCCTCTCCTGTGCCCTTCTTTTGTCCCCCAAGCCTCTATGTGCATCTCTTTGTGCCTCTCGGTGTATCTCTTTGTGCCTCCCAGCCTCTCTGTTTATCTCTTTGTCCCCCCAAGCCGCACTGTTTGCCTCCTCTGCTCCCCAGCCCCTCTGTGTCTCTCGATGGGCCCACAGCCGCTCTGTTTGTCTCTTTGTCCCCTCTCAGCCCCTCTGTGTGTCTCTTTATGCCCCACAACCCCTGTGTGTCTTTGTCCCCATCCCCTCCTGTCTCCAGTCTTTGTCCCCCCACCCCTCCAGTGCCCTTCTTTTATCCCCCCTTCCTTCCTGTGCCCTCCTTTTGTCACACTCCCTCATGTGCCCTTCTTATGCCCCCTCCCCTATAATCGGTCTGACAGGAAGCAGTTTTTTGCTCTCAGTGAGCACTTCCTGTCAGACCGGGTGGAGGATACAGAAGCTCCTCTGCGGCAGTCTGCCTGCTTGGCCACACTACATTCAGTGACTGGTGCAGTGCTCTACCCTTCTGCCGGTCACCCGGAGATCGCACCCCCCAGACCACAGCCACTCAGTCTGTCCTTGAATGGCACCTCCCTATTAGTGGTAACTGGGGCAGACCGCACCCCCCTGTTAGTACACCACTGGTTTAGGCATTTGTAGTCTTTTTCTCAACATAGAGACATGAGATTGTGTTCCTATATTTTCTCTTATTCTGCTGACTTTTCAGTTCTTCTCAACCCTAGTTGAGAGAAATGAAGAAAAAAAAAAGTTAAAATAACATATCTATTTAATATTGTGTTTTAAGTGCAAACATATTCCACAGCAATGTACAATAGGTGGACTAATAAAGAAATAGTTGCAACAAGACACGTTGGATGTACAGGAACAGACAGTGGTGAGGACCCAGCCCAAATGAGCGTGCATACTAAGTAGGATGGAAACAGGGGGATTAGGCATTCACTATAGTGGTAGACTAAAGAATACAATTAGGCAGCAGTAACCAATACAAGGATTCCCAACCTTGTGAGAAAATGGTATAGACAGAGAGAGGAAGGAAACCGCTCCCTGGATAGTATAATACAAAAAATCGTATACTTACACAGGTCTTATTCTGAAGATATAAATATACAGTCGACCTCAAAAAGATAAAAGAACATAAACAGATAATAAACAAATAAATAGAAGTACAGCCTAGGTAAACTCAAGACAGGGGGGTAACCCCTAGTAGAAATAAATAGCAAGAGAAAATGTGGTGAGAGTACCTATCAAATAGGACAAAAAGGAAACTATCACTAAGTGCAAACTGTACAGATAAAGTACATATTGGGTGGAGAAAATATAAAATAAAAATAACAAATAACTTTATTAAATATAAATACTAAAAAGTATCAAAAAATAAAGAATGGAACACTAATATACTGATAAAATCAAGCAAAACGATATCCCAAAGTGAGAGGATATTTCTGATGCCTCAGGTTGAAAAAATACTACACCGCACACGTCTGTGCAGAGTGAAAAGAAGAGAGGAGAGAAGGGAGGGGGGGGGGCGAAGGAGAGGACGCCTAAGGTGATGATGTAATACCTAAAATAATGTAGAGCTAATCCAAATATATGGGTATAGCTACAAGGGGCTAAATTGGTAGAAAAATATATATATATATATATATAATAAAAAGAAAGAGAAAATTTGCATGTCAGGATCGACAATAAACAAAAAAAGCTAGATAGCTGTATCGTAAGAAAATGTCAGAATACGAAAAAACGCTAGAGATAGAGTGCCCAATGGCAGTAATTATAGTGTTAACTAGAACGTATCCGATACCAGAGGGCTAATGTCTGCTTCAAAATCTAAAAAAGCAGTAATGGTCCTAGTAGTACGCAGCTGAGCTGGTATAAAGCTATTGCTACAGAGTTAGAATGCAGCATCCAATTCTGCATACGGCACCAAAACTAACGTTGTTAAAATAGACAGCAATATATTGTGAGCACAGATGTTACAAAATAAGTGCAAAGTTATCAAGTGAGAGATTCTGACAGCTGTAGGGTACTAAATAGTACATAGTAGCGTTTACTAAATAGTAATAGGAACAGAAGAGAATTCTGACAGAAAGCCTTGATTATAATGAAAGCTCCTGCTAAAATATGACAGAATGTAATGCCGTGTTTAAATGGCTAAATAAGTATACTGCTGTTGCCAAGAAAGAGAGAAAAAGAAATAAGCGGAAAACTAATAGAATAAATACCGTCCTCAACCTAGGAACCCCCCATGTGCCTTCATGGGCACCAGGACTAACCCCCACTCGTGAATCTCCTAAATGAGACAGCAGATAAAACAAGAAGATACAGAATATAAAGAGAATATGATAAATAATGGCGATAAAGTAGCGCCAGAATCCCCTGACGCGCGCGTTTCGCCAAAGCTCGTCAGAGGGGAACTGGGTGCCGCCAACTCAAGCGTTTAAAAGTAAGGACTGGAAAGCTGATTGGCCAGACTAAAAATGTTCTAATTGGATGATCGAAAGATGATGTCACACAGTAGGCGGAGTGTGTCTGCGGCTATGTTTGCCGAACACACATTAACCCTAGATTTACCAGTCCTGAATATTATAAAAAGAAAAAAGAAAAAGAATAGTCTGAATACAGTAATGGATTGACTGCAATATAGTGCAAACGACAGAATAAACCGAAGAATCAATGAAACAAAAACTTAAGAATAAAGAAAAGAAAAGAAATCGTGCCCTATCTAGTGAATGCAGAGACACATTTGGGATAGCAATACCCCGATTAAAACACAGTGAAAGCTGTGTATGTTCTGCATTCATAATGATAGAGAACTAGCTGATGCAACGTTATTATGGTATAACCAAAACTGGAAACTCATCCTATAATAATAAGGAATAAGCACCTTAAAAATTGTATGTTAATTCATATAATATGTTATTATTTCTAAAGGAGTATAATCCATATTGTAAAAACAAGATTTACATCTAGAGGCAGTAGAAGAAATCAAAAAAAGCATAATACACTTTATATAACAAAAACATGATTATTTGTGAATAAACGGAGTAAAATTGAACTCCTCATTAAGACCATTAGGAAAGAGAGTCTTAAAATGATAAATCCATCTGGATTCTTTCATTAGCAACATTCTATTATAATTGCCTTTACGGGAATTCAATGTTAATCTTTCAATAGCTTGAAAAGTTAAGTTGGTAGGGTCTCCATTATGATGTACCCTAACGTGGTTTGATAAAGGAGTAGAGATATTGATATTGGAAATGGAACATATGTGTTGAAGAATTCTCCTCCTAAACTGTTGATATGTTTTACCGATGTATTGTACTTTACAACTGCAAGTTATAAGATAAATAACTTTTGTAGAATTGCAGTTGATAAATTGTTTTATTGGATATTCTTTCCCTGTACATGTGCTTTGGATAACTTTAGAGGGTTTAATGTGTTTGCAAGCTTTACAGTGCCCGCATTGATATACGCCTGCCACCGGGGTTAACCAGGTTCAGTTACGAATTGGTTCTGTATGACTGTGCACAAGATGATCACGTAGATTTTTAGCCCTACGTGCCGTAATATTAGGAAATTTACTAAAATTATCCCTCAGATCTTTGTCATAATTAAGGATCGGCCAATTTTGAGACATAATAGTAAGAACAGGTTCCCAGAGCTGGTCAAAAGTGCCAATGCATCTAATGGTCTGGGGATCTGCAGTAGATCTATTGGCATGTAGACTCTCACTCCTATTTTTGGCAGGTGCCTGTTGATACGCTCGTTTTAAGATTCTGTTAGGATATCCCTTCTGTTTAAACATTGTTCGCAATGTTTTGGCTTCAGACTGAAAAGTCTCATCATTAGAACAGTTACGTCTTGCCCTAAGGTATTGTCCATAGGGAATACCAGATTTTAATTTGAGCGGGTGGTGACTGTCCCAACTAAGTAGACTGTTTGTTGCAGTTGGTTTTCGATAAAGTTCAGTTTCAATCGTGCCATCTGGTGAAATCTTAATGTTGAGGTCAAGGAAAATTAGATGTTCAGTGTCAATGACGTATGTCAATTGAAGGCCTATTGAGTTGTTATTCAATCGATCGACCAATTCCTCAAACTGTTTGACAGATCCCAACCAGAATACCAACACATCATCGATGTATCTGTGCCAACTAAGGACACAATTATGATACTTCTCCTTGATGATGGGGCCAAGAATAGTTTCTTCCCACCAACCCAGATAGATATTGGCATAGCTTGGGGCACAAGCCGTGCCCATCGCTGTGCCCCTCAGTTGAAGATAATGAGTGCAATTAAATACGAAGAAGTTATGTGTCAGCACAAACTCTAAGAGCTGGATAATGAAATTACTCTGGGTGATGGAGAATTTTTGGGATTTTAGAAGGAAATATCTGACTGCTCCAAGGCCAGTCTCATGTGGGATGTTGTTGTAGAGTGCCACTACATCCATACTGCCTAACAGGCAGTAGGGTGGTACAATTACATTTTCTAGTAGGATCAGAGTCTGCTTAGTATCTTGAAGATACGACGGAAGGCCAACTACAATTGGATGTAAAAGTTTCTCAAGAAATTTACTACTGCGCTCAGTGATGAAACCATTCCCCGAAACTATGGGTCGACCTGGTGGTTTAGAGATATTTTTATGTACTTTAGGGAGGCAGTATAGGGTCGCGATAGTTGGAGTGAGATTAGGTAAAATAAATTTATATTCATCTTGTGTTATTATTCCACTGATTAATGCTGGTGTTAGAATAGACTTTAACTCATTAAGAAATTGTGGCGTGAGAGAGTTTCTGATAAGCTTGTACATCCTCAAGGTGTTCCATACACATTTCCAAATATTGATCTCTATCCATCAAAACCACGTTCCCCCCTTTATCAGAGGGTTTGATTACAAGATCAACAGCTGTAGTCAATTATTTTAGGGCTCGTCTCTGAAGTATAGTCAGATTGTCATGTCTGGTTCTGGACATAGGAAGAGATTCAATAGCTGTAGTGGTCATTTGAATGAATAAATCAACGCTCGACACTTCACTTAGGTTTGGAGTGAACCAACTCTCTGGTTGTAAGTTGGTAAGTGGAGCTATAGAGTCCTGTTCATCCAGCAGTGATAATAATGTCTGCTGGAGACAGAAATCTTCATAAGGGATGCCGGCCTCTTTAGCTAGTTTATGGTTCTTTCTTTGATGTACTACATTAAGGGCCAGCTTACGCCCAAATAAGTTAGTGTCCTTTATCCATTCGAATTTATTGGCGCTTGGAGTGGGTATGAATGACAATCCCTTATTGACAAGTGAGATATGGTGTTTGGTCAAGATGAATTTTGACAAATTTATAATTTGATTAGGATCGTTACTGTCTAATATTGATTTCTTCTTTTGTCTCGTTTGTAACCCCATTTTTGTCTGTCTCTGAGTTTTTCCCTCTGTGGGAGGGGCCAATCCTCCTCTAAAAAAGGTTGTTCTACATTATTAGATGTCTGAGGGGTCTCGGATACTGGGGTATCCGGAAAGGTGACATTCCTAGTTCTGAGAATACTTCTGTTCGTGGATGATTGTGTCTTTCTATAAGGTGGATCCTTCCTAGATATATTAGAATCAGAGTCAGACCAGTCCGTATTGCCAGAGTTTGAGCTATTTTTGCGATTAGTATATTTTCTTGATCTATTTTTAGAACAAAAAATATTGCCTTCCTGGAAATGCAGAACATACACAGCTTTCACTGTGTTTTAATCGGGGTATTGCTATCCCAAATGTGTCTCTGCATTCACTAGATAGGGCGCGATTTCTTTTCTTTTCTTTATTCTTAAGTTTTTGTTTCATTGATTCTTCGGTTTATTCTGTCGTTTGCACTATATTGCAGTCAATCCATTACTGTATTCAGACTATTCTTTTTTTTTTTTCTTTTTATAATATTCAGGACTGGTAAATCTAGGGTTAATGTGTGTTCGGCAAACATAGCCGCAGACACACTCCGCCTACTGTGTGACATCATCTTTCGATCATCCAATTAGAACATTTTTAGTCTGGCCAATCAGCTTTCCAGTCCTTACTTTTAAACGCTTGAGTTGGCGGCACCCAGTTCCCCTCTGACGAGCTTTGGCGAAACGCGCGCGTCAGGGGATTCTGGCGCTGCTTTATCGCCATTATTTATCATATTCTCTTTATATTCTGTATCTTCTTGTTTTATCTGCTGTCTCATTTAGGAGATTCACGAGTGGGGGTTAGTCCTGGTGCCCATGAAGGCACATGGGGGGTTCCTAGGTTGAGGACGGTATTTATTCTATTAGTTTTCCGCTTATTTCTTTTTCTCTCATTCTTGGCAACAGCAGTATACTTATTTAGCCATTTAAACACGGCATTACATTCTGCCATATTTTAGCAGGAGCTTTCATTATAATCAAGGCTTTCTGTCAGAATTCTCTTCTGTTCCTATTACTATTTAGTAAACGCTACTATGTACTATTTAGTACCCTACAGCTGTCAGAATCTCTCACTTGATAACTTTGCACTTATTTTGTAACATCTGTGCTCACAATATATTGCTGTCTATTTTAACAACGTTAGTTTTGGTGCCGTATGCAGAATTGGATGCTGCATTCTAACTCTGTAGCAATAGCTTTATACCAGCTCAGCTGCGTACTACTAGGACCATTACTGCTTTTTTAGATTTTGAAGCAGACATTAGCCCTCTGGTATCGGATACGTTCTAGTTAACACTATAATTACTGCCATTGGGCACTCTATCTCTAGTGTTTTTTCGTATTCTGACATTTTCTTACGATACAGCTATCTAGCTTTTTTTGTTTATTGTCGATCCTCACATGCAAATTTTCTCTTTCTTTTTATTATATATATATATATTTTTCTACCAATTTAGCCCCTTGTAGCTATACCCATATATTTGGATTAGCTCTACATTATTTTAGGTATTACATCATCACCTTAGGCGTCCTCTCCTTCGCCCCCCCCCCTCCCTTCTCTCCTCTCTTCTTTTCACTCTGCACAGACGTGTGCGGTGTAGTATTTTTTCAACCTGAGACATCAGAAATATCCTCTCACTTTGGGATATCGTTTTGCTTGATTTTATCAGTATATTAGTGTTCCATTCTTTATTTTTTGATACTTTTTAGTATTTATATTTAATAAAGTTATTTGTTATTTTAATTTTATATTTTCTCCACCCAATATGTACTTTATCTGTACAGTTTGCACTTAGTGATAGTTTCCTTTTTGTCCTATTTGATAGGTTCTCTCACCACATTTTCTCTTGATAAACAGATAATAGTGTAGTAAGGTAAGTATAATGAGTATATGTATGAGTGTTTCTAAATGGTTACACTCAAATTTACCAGAGCTAACTCAGAGCTCAGCTGTATACGCGTGCAGCAGTATGCTCCTTGGTAGTCTCAGGCAGAATATATGTGGAGAGACATAGAAAGATCCAATAGTGCAATATATACTGACAAAATAAATAAAACAAGGTATAAAATAACGTACTCACATTTGCTAGAGCACAACTTGCTCTAGTTGGTGTAGCATAGGTGGTATAATCCCCACCAGGGAATGTGATGGCAACCAGGAGGTAAAGAAGTTGAAGTCCAAAATAGATAAAGGATAAAAATATACCTTTTAATGACAACAGAAAATAATAAAATAGTAAAATATTGGTAAATACTTTTAAAAGTCCCACTTGACGCGTTTCAACTATAGAAGGCTTCCTCCGAAGTGTGACTTCCTACCAGCTACCTCCGCATGGGAGGGAAGAGAGCCAGGCCGCGGGAGCCACGCCGACTCATATCAGCCACAGCCACCCTCCTGCAAAAAAAGGTAAGCAAAATTAGCTATGTATGTATGTATGTACGTACGTATGTACGTACGTGTGTGTATGTATGTCAGTATGTGTTTATGTATGTATGTCTGTGTGTATGTATGTATGTTTGTCAGTATGTGTTTATGTATGTATGACTAGTGTGTGTGTGTGTGTATGTCAGTGTGTGTGTGTGTGTGTATGTATGTGTGTGTTTGTGTGTATGTATGTCAGTGTGTATGTGTGTGTGTATATATGTATGTATGTCAGTATGTGTTTATGTATGTATGTCTGTGTGGGTGTATGTATGTATGTCAGTGTGTATGTGTGTGTGTGTATATATGTCAGTATGTGTTTTTGTATGTGTGTGTATGTATGTATGTCAGTGTGTATATGTGTGTGTGTGTGTATGTCAGAATGTGTTTATGTATGTGTGTATGTATGTCAGAGTGTATGTATGTGTATGTGTATGTATGTCAGTGTGTGTGTATGTATGTATGTATGTCAGTATGTGTTTATGTATGTATGTCTGTGTGTGTATGTCAGTATGTGTGTGTGTATGTATGTATCTATGTCAGTATGTGTGTAAGTATGTCTGTGTGTGTATGTATGCGTGTATTTGTATGTCTGTGTGTGTGTATGTGTATGTATGTCAGTATGTATGTGTGTATTTGTATGTCTGTATGTCAGTATGTATGTATATGTATGTCAGTATGTGTGTATTTGTATGTCTGTGTGTCAGTATGTCTATGTATGTGTATGTATGTGTATGTCTGTATGTCTGTATGTATGTGTGTCAGTATGTGTGTGTTTGTGTGTGTTTGTGTGTGTCTGTATGTTAGTATATCTATGTATGTGTATGTATGTCAGTATGTGTTTATGTATGTATGTCAGTATGTGTATGTATGTATATGTGTATGTATGTCAGTATGTGAGTTTGTATTTCTGTATGTCTATGTATGTGTGTGTATGTATGTATGTGTCAGTATGTATGTGTATGCATGTCTGTATGTCAGTATGTGTATGTCTGTATTTCAGTATGTCGGTATATGTGTGTGTGTGTGTGTGTGTGTATGTCTGTATTTCAGTATGTCAGTATGTCTGTATGTGTGTGTATGTATGTATGTCAGTGTGTGTGTGTGTGTGTGTGTATGTCAGTATGTCTATGTACGTGTATGTATGTCAGTATGTGTGTGTATATGTGTGTATATGATCTGTACTTGGACCCATTCTTTTTAATATTTTAATATTTTTATTAGTGATATTGCAAAAGGTCTTGATGGTAAGGTATGTCTTTTTGCTGATGATACAATATGTAACAGGGTTGATGTTCCAGGAGGGTTAAGCCAAATGGCAAATGATTTAGGTAAACTAGAAAAATGGTCAGAGTTGTGGCAACTGACATTTAATGTGGATAAGTGCAAGATAATGCATCTTGGATGTAAAACCCAGGGGTAGAGTACAGAATATTTAATAGAGTCCTAACCTCAACATATGAGGAAAGGGATTTAGGGGTGATTATTTCTGATGACTTAAAGGTAGGCAGACAATGTAATAGAGCAGCAGGAAATGCTAGCAGAATGCTTGGTTGTATAGGGAGAGGTATTAGCAGTAGAAAGAGGGAAGTGCTCATGCCATTGTACAGAACACTGGTGAGACCTCACTTGGAGTATTGTACACAGTACTAGAGACCGTATCTTCAGAAGGGTATTGATACCTTGTATGTCAGTATGTCTGTGTAACGGCACCCCAGGCATAAAAGGGGTTAACAGCCGTTTAGGAGATATTCCCTTCCAGAGACACAGGCACAGCTACTGCAGAACACCAAACTCCCGAACTGGATACAAGGGAATGCTCCAAACTCCCGAATTGGAACCATACGAATAGCTGCTAGCAGACGAACAGGAAAAGCACCCAAGCGGCTTACACTCCTGGCAATCAGTCTCTAACAGCATACAGTAAATCCCCTCAAAGACGAGACAAGGCTCCGTGGTGAGGGTCAAGCAGTGATCAGATAGAGCTGTGTGTTTATTGTTCTTATGTACACATTCTTACACATAACCACCCACAGGGTTTTGTGGAACATCCAATCAAAACATATAACACAGATAAACACTCCCACAATGACATCACACTCCCTCCTCTCTATCCTGGAGATAATTAAGTGTTCTTGCATAGCAAGACCACTTATTGTTATCTCACATATATATTATTAAGTGTTCTTGCATAGCAAGACCACTTAATGTTATCTCACATATATATTCTTATTAAGTGTTCTTGCATAGCAAGACCAGTTATTGTTATCTCACATATATATTATTATTCTTATTATAGCCAAATTTGCCACCCTAACTCCTCCCACAGTTTTTACACTACATAGACAAAAATTTACCAAAACGTGCAGATTGTTCCCGATCTGATTGCTATTACTTTGTGGAACGTTTCGCCGAATGGTTCACGGAATATCGTCGTTCTTGTGGCGAAATTTGTCCCATAGGAATGAATGGCAAAGCTAGAGTGGGAGCTGGCAAAAGCTGAAAAATCAGGACATGATTTCTAAACTGCCACCACTCCCTTATTGTCAGGCCCACCTACACAAATCTTATATCAAAACGTTCAGCTATCTCTGCTGCCACTAGAAATGTCCACGGCTAAGCCATAGTCCTGATAGATTTCACAATATGACCATTTGTTTGCAACTCACGCCTTCCATTGACATTCATTGAAACTTCACTCAAGCCAGCTCAAATTTGAAGTGCAATTTCTAAACTGCGACTGTGCCTTCATTTTTAATACTTCAGAGACATACTATGAATCACAATGTAGGTCTGGGTCTTGTTATTCTCACAATATAAAGCTCTTCGCTGTAGGATTTATAATTTTTAAAATACGACCATTTGAAGATGGCAGCCGCCAAAATACTCTGACCTGTGCCAGGCTTCAGCAGCAAGTGATGTCATAGACAGGGCCTTTTGAACACCTGCTAATGTTTTTATAAATGTATGGTTTAATGTAACTGTGCAACAACGTTGCAATTAAATGTGCTATATAAATGATAACAGTTACTCCGCCCACTCCAGTTGTAGACTACTGGTGGAGGCAAGAACACTTCACACAATTTCCCCAGAAATTGTAGCTTTTCTAGTTCTTATTCTTATTCTTATTATAGCCAAATTTGCCACCCTAACTCCTCCCACAGTTTTTACACTACATAGACAAAAATTCACCAAAACGTGCAGATTGTTCCCGATCGGATTGCTATTACTTTGTGGAACGTTTCGCCGAATGGTTCACGGAATATCGTCGTTCTTGTGGCGAAATTTGTCCCATAGGAATGAATGGCAAAGCTAGAGTGGGAGCTGACAAAAGCTGAAAAATCAGGACATGATTTCTAAACTGCCACCACTCCCTTATTTTCAGGCCCACCTACACAAATCTTATATCAAAACGTTCAGCTATCCCTGCTGCCACTAAACATGTCAACGGCTAAGCCATAGTCCTGATAGTTTTCACAATATAATCATTTGTTTGCAACTAACGCCGTCCATTGACATTCATTGAAACTTCACTCTACAAAGCTCAAATTTGAAATGCAATTTCTAAACTAGAAAAGCTACAATTTCTGGGGAAATTGTGTGAAGTGTTCTTGCCTCCACCAGTAGTCTACAACTGGAGTGGGCGGAGTAACTGTTATCATTTATATAGCACATTTAATTGCAACGTTGTTGCACAGTTACATTAAACCATACATTTATAAAAACATTAGCAGGTGTTCAAAAGGCCCTGTCTATGACATCACTTGCTGCTGCAGCCTGGCACAGGTCAGAGTATTTTGGCGGTTGCCATCTTCAAACGGTCGTATTTTAAAAACTATAAATCCTACAGCGAAGAGCTTTATATTGTGAGAATCACAAGACCCAGACCTACATTTTGGTAAATTTTGGTAAATTTTTGTCTATGTAGTGTAAAAACTGTGGGAGGAGTTAGGGTGGCAAATTTGGCTATAATAAGAATAATAATATATATGTGAGATAACAATAAGTGGTCTTGCTATGCAAGAACACTTAATAATATATATGTGAGATAACAATAAGTGGTCTTGCTATGCAAGAACACTTAATAAGAATAATATATATGTGAGATAACAATAAGTGGTCTTGCTATGCAAGAACACTTAATAATAATATATATGTGAGATAACATTAAGTGGTCTTGCTATGCAAGAACACTTAATAAGAATAATAATATATATGTCAGATAAGATTAAGTGGTCTTGCTATGCAAGAACACTTAATAATATATATGTGAGATAACATTAAGTGGTCTTGCTATGCAAGAACACTTAATAAGAATAAGAATAATATATACCGTATATACTCGAGTATAAGCCGAGTTTTTCAGCACATTTTTTGTGCTGAAAAACCCCAACTCGGCTTATACTCGAGTCACTGTCTGTATTATGGTAATTTACATTGCCATAATACAGACTGGGGGCTGGCAGCGAGCGCTTACCTCTCCTGCAGCTCCTGTCAGCTCCCTCCATTTCCTCGCCGGTCCGTGCAGCACCTCGGTCAGCTCCCAGAGTAAGTCTCGCGAGAGCCGCGGGGTCATAGTGCGGCTCTCGCGAGACTTACAGTGACAGAGGAGCTGCACGGACCGGCGCGGAGGAGGAGAGAGCTGACAGGAGCTGCAGGAGAGGTAAGTAACAGCTCTGCCAGCCCCCCTCCTCCCCCCACTGAACTGCCAATGGACCACCAGGGAAGGAGAGCCCCCCTCCCTGCCATGTATCAAGCAGGGAGGGGGGACAAAAAATAAATAAATATAATAATACATAAATAATAATTAATAAAAAAATAATAATAAAACAAAAAAATTAAAATAATATTACTTTTTTTTTTATAAAACTGCCCACCCCCCCACCAAGGCTCTGCAACACACACATACACACTGCATCACACACACACTGCATTATATACACACACACTGCATTATATACACACACATTGCATTCATACACACACACTGCATTCATACACACACTGCATTCATACACACACACACACTGCATTCATACACACACACTGCATTTACACACACACTGCATTCATACACACACACTGCATTTACACACTGCACACTCATACACACACACTGCACACTCATACACACACTGCACTCATACACACAAACTGCATTCATACACACACACACTGCATTCATACACACACACACTGCACTCATACACACACTGCATTCATACACACACACACACTGCACTCATACACACACTGCATTCATACACACACACTGCACTCATACACACACTGCGCACTCATACACACACTGCACATTCATACACACACTGCATTTATGCACACACACTGCGCACTCATACACACACTGTGCACTCATCATATACACACACTGTAAATAAATATTCAATTAATATAATTTTTTTAGGATCTAATTTTATTTAGAAATTTACCAGTAGCTGCTGCATTTCCCACCCTAGTCTTATACTCGAGTCAATACGTTTTCCCAGTTTTGGGGGGTAAAATTAGGGGCCTCGGCTTATATTCGGGTCGGCTTATACTCGAGTATATACGGTATGTGAGATAACATTAAGTGGTCTTGCTATGCAAGAACACTTAATAATAATATATATGTGAGATAACATTAAGTGGTCTTGCTATGCAAGAACACTTAATAAATGTATTTAGTTGTTCTGATATACAGAATATATAATGTGTCTGAGATTTTAAGTTTTTTTTGGTAGTTACAGGTCACAAAGCACAAGGCGTAAACTAAACCTTTAACGTGGAGCGATTTTAGAATTTGGTATGTTTGTCTTGTAAGCTTAATAGCCATAAAAGAAAACAAAATTGCCACACAAAAGTATATATTTATATAAAGTAGACATCACGGGCTATTTACCTAAGGTTGTTTTGACACTTTCTACGTAGCCATTTCATCGCCAACCTCTGCTAAATATTGGAGTAAAATTGTGTTCTTTTTGTTTTTTGGCACACAAACTTATCACAAAGAAATTCTCATGTATATTTTGTAAAGTTGGTGTTTGCTATTCCTGTACAAAGTTTTATTTTGTGTTCAATAACATCTGCTGAGTAAAATGACACCCCCATTGTATGTCTTTGGTACTATTTCGTGAAGTTACAGTGCCATATAGGATACCTGTCCTTTTCAGTATTCACAGTAGAATTTTGAGAGACGGATTTAATGAGCCTATGCTTCCATTTGGGGTATTATAGTAGTTTGACTGTTCAAAAAAAACCCACAAAGGCCTACCATTTGTAAAAGTAGACACTCCAGGGTATTTCATAAGGTGCATATTGTGCCTTAACATGCCCCCATTTTTTCCCAATATATGTCAAAGTATGTGATAAAAAATAATTTTGTGCATTTTTTACATATGGATTGCATTTTTGCTGGGCATTTTGTATATTTCATATGTGCCACTAAGTTCAAACCCCCCAAATTATGCTCAGCTAAGTCTTCTGAGTAAAAGGACACCCCCATTGTATGTCTTTGGCACTATTTCGTGAAGCTACAGTGCCATAAAGGAGACCTGTCCTTTTCAGTATTCACAGTAGAATTTTGAGAGATGGATTTAATGAGCCTTAGCTTCCATTTGGGGTATTATAACAGTTTGACTGTTCAAAAAAAACCCACAAAGGCCTACCATTTGTAAAAGTAGACACTCCAGGGTATCTCATAAGGTGCATAATGTGCCTTAACATGCCCCCATTATTTTACCAATATATGCCAAAGTATGTGGTAAAAAATAATTTTGTGCATTTTTTACATACGGATTGCATTTTTGCTGGGCATTTTGTATATTTCATATGTGCCACTAAGTTCAAACCTCCCACATTATGCTCAGCTAAGTCTTCTGAGTAAAAAGACACCCCCAATGAATGTCTTTGGCACTATTTCGTGAAGCTACAGTGCCATATAGGGGACCAAGCCATATATGTTACCGAACTTTGAATTTTGACGCTGGGCCTATGTGCAATTTCCAAGCATCTACGCAGGTTTTAAATTCAAACTACCCCACAAAGGCCTACCATTTCTTAAAGTAGACACCCCAGGGTATTTTAAAAGGTATATTTTGAACCTTAGCATGGGATCATTTTTCTGCTAGCTTGTACCAAGTGTAGTGGTAATAAGCGTTTTTTCTGCCTTTTTGACACACAAAGTGAGTTTGCACAGTATATTTTGCAAACCTTATGTGTGCTACGACTGTATAATACTTCATATGTTGCTCAGCTATGTCAGCTGAGTACAGCAATACCCCCGTATGTACCTTTGCCAGGTATATGTGGATGTTGAATGGGCGCATTTGAGATGCAGCCATTCACTTTTTTTCTAACTTTGACGTTTTACGCTGTGTCCATGTTCCAATTTGGAGTAGTTTAGACGGTTGGCTATTGAAACTTCCCCACAAACACATACTATTTATTAAAGAATACACCCTGGGGTAATTCAAAAGGCATATTTTGAACCTTGGAGTGTGATATTTTTGTCTCTAGTCTGTTCCAGGTGTAGTGGTAATGAGCCTTTTTAAATGTATTTTTTTTTTCTTTTTTAAACTTTTTTACTTTTAAAAACTAGTTTTTAAACATTTGTTTTGCTTATAAATTTTTTTAAACTTTCCTAAACTTTCTTAAAACTTTTTTACAGATTTAACATTTTTCTTTTTTTTTACCGTTACACCTAACTAGCGGTAAGCAGCACTAACAGTAAATTCCCCATTCTCCCATAACTCCCACCCACCCCAGCTAGCAAAATATATAGTTATAAAAAATTTAAATTAATTAATTAAATAAATTGAACCCCTGAGGGTTAAAAAATAAATAAAAGTTAATCCTCAGTGGTTAAAAAAAAATTAGATCACAGTATAATACTGTGATCTGTATTTGATCACTGTAGGCAGTGATCGACTGGCAGGGAAGGGGTTAATTTTTATTTGGACTGGGTAAAGGGGTTATTTTATTTTTTTTACTTAAATGTTATTAAAACTTTTTTTAAGCTTAATTTTTAACTTTTTAAAGTTTATTTTAAAACTTTTTTTTTAACGTTAACCCCTAGTTAGCCTAACGCCAAATCCCCCAATTCCCCACTAACTTCCATCCACCCCAGCTAGCTAAATATATAATTTTAAAATCTTTAAATTAATTAATTAAATAAATTTAACCCCTGAGGGTTAAAAAAAAAAGAATTATCTCTCAGGGGTTAAAAAAAAAAAATCAGATCATAGTAAAATGTAATCCCTGCCAATTGATCACTGTAGTCAGTGATCAATTGGCATGGAAGGGGTTAATTTTTTATTAAAATGGGTAAAGGGGTGTGGGATTTTAAATTAACTTTATTTTTTTTCCAACAGGGGGCAGGATCATCACTGTTCCGGCTCCCTGCACTTCACACAGAACCAGGAAGTGCAGGGAGGCGGAAGGTAAGTATACTAATCACATGTGCTCGCTCTGACATGCTGTCAGAGCGAGCACATGTGCTGGGCAGCCGGATCGGGTGCTCACGGTCTGCCTCTAATACAGAGGCAGACCGGAGCACCATTAACCCCGCGATCGCCGCAATATGTCCGTCACTCGTCATTAAGGGTTGTGACGTCATTAAGGGTTAAGGGTTTCCCCTGAGTGACGGAACTCATCTGTCACTCATCCAGAAGGGGTTAAGCACATGGCAGTAAAAAGACATTAAAATACAATAAAATACACAAGATTACATTTATTACATAAAATACAGACATGCAACATATCCCCAGATAGCTGAGCCCACATTATTACTGAATGGCGCTCAGACCACACACATACAGTTCAATTGCCATGGAGCCAAAGTCTTTTATTACACGAATAGGCTCCATGGCATAGCTATCTGGGTTAAATGAGTTCATTCAGTAAATCCGTGAATGAACCTGCCGGGTGTGAACTGCAGACTGCTGCCATCCAGTGTTCAGTATGCGTAGCCGCGGCCACCCAGTATAGTCAATAAAGCTGCGGTTAACCGCAGCTACTGGGTGGTCAACTGGCGGCGCTCGCCGGCTTCTGGGCAGCCAATTAACGGCGCCTGCCAGCTAACCGCTGTTGCTTGGAGGCCAATAGACGGCTGTTTGTTCGGTAGATAGAATCTACCGACCGCCCGGGCAGAAATACATGAATAGACCTTTCTGCATAGGAAAATAAAGTATTTAAACGCTTGTCCATAGTCAAAAGGCAGCAGGCAGGCAACCAGGCTCCTCCAATGCACAGTGGCGAGATTGGTCTCGTCACATCGCTACCCTTTTCCAAACAGACTAACAGGGTATCTGACCTCCTGCCGGTCAGTGCCCTGATTAGTCCAGCAGCCCACCCACAAAACAGAAACAGCAGTACAGCCCACCCACAATAAATGATTACTATACCTGAGTAAGGGAGAAACTTGTCCATATCCAGGTGCCTCACCACGGCTGTGTGAGGGACTGGTAGGCTGCCTTGGTGGGTTGCTGAGTGGGCAGAGACCAGCGGTACTCTGCCCTGGTGCCAGCACTACCATGGAAGTAGCCTGGTTGGAGCCTGGTTGCTGGAGGGGTGGACCAACTGTCTCCCCTTTGGATACACAGCTCTGCTGCTGGAGGGGGAGACCGATTGTCTCCCCTTTGGACAAACCACCGGCTTCTGGGCAGCCAATTAACGGCGCCTGCCAGCTAACCGCGGCTCCTGGGAGACCAATAGACGGCTGTTTGTTCGGTAGATAGAATCTACCGAACGCCCGGGCAGAAATACATGAATAGACCTTTCTGCATAGGAAAATAATGTATTGTGACGGTAGTCTCCGTCACTGGGGCTGGAAGACAGATACTATATGTAGGTCCCCAGATTCCTCTTGTGTTTTGATCATCCTGTGACCAGTATTAGTGCAGGGTATGTTTAATGTATTGCTTGTCTGTGCCTCTCCCCCTCCCCCCTTTTCCTGTCCCATTGTTTTTCCAGCCAGGGCTGGTGCAAAGAATTTTGGGTACATAGGCGAAGATGCATTTTTCCGCCCACCCAAAAACATCTTCACCCATGTGCCTCTTAACCTCCCTTTTGTGTTTCTTATCCCGTCTTTTAAATATCTGACTCCCTTTAGTGTATTTTATCTCCTATTTTTGCCTTTGTGTGTCTCCTATCTCTCTTCTTTGTATGACTCTTACATCCTTCCACATTTTGTGTCTTACTCCTCCCAGCCCCTTTGTGTGACTCCTTTTCTCCCAGCCCATTTGTGTCTTTTATTCTTCCCAGCTCCTTTGTGTGTGTCTCTTTCCTTCTCAAGCCCCGCTGTGTGTTTCTTTCACATCCGGACCCTCTCCCCGTCCCTTAATGGTCCCCTCCCTTCTCTGACCCTTACTGTTCCTTTCCCTTCCCGCCTCCTTTCCCTGTCCCTTAGTGTTCCTCTCCCCTCCCCCATCTGTTGGCTGTCGCTTAGTGTTCCTCTCCCCCCTCCCTCCTTTTCCTGTACCTTAGGGTATCTCTCCCCTCCTCTCCCTGTCCCTTGGTGCGCCACCCACCCCCATAGTGGTCCCCTCCCCTTTCTGGTGTGCCTCCTACCTTTTTTTGTAGCGTGGCTGAGCGGAGCGAATCCCGGTACAGTGAGCTTTTCCTGTAAGTTCTGCCAGGTACAGGAAACAGAAGTTCCTGTACCACGGTACACTCCACTTGGCCAGGGGTGTATAAACACTGACAGTCACACACACTCAATGACAAACACACAGACATCTCTGACAGCCAGACTCACCTATCTGACACACTCATTCATTGACAGACACTCACACGCACACTGACAGACTCATTGAAAAACACACACTGACACACACACACACAAACTCACAGACACTGACAGACACACGTACTCACATGCACACATGCACATACTGACAGACACACATACTCACACACACACTGACAGAACCACACACACACACAAACTCACAGACACACACACTCACACACACATACTCACATGCACACACACACTGACAGACACACATACTCACACACACACTGACAGACACACATACTCACACACACACTGACAGACACACATACTCACATGCACACACACACTGACATACACACATACTCACACACACACTGACAGACACACATACTCACACACACACTGACAGACATACTCACATGCACACACACACTGACAGACACACATACTCACACACACACTGACAGACACACATACTCACACACACACTGACAGACATACTCACATTCACACACACAAACCGACAGACATAATCACATGCACACACACACTGACAGACACACATACTCACACACACACTGACAGACACACATACTCACACACACACTGACAGACATACTCACATGCACACACACACACTGACAGACACACATACTCACACACACACTGACAGACACACATACTCACATGTACACACACACACAGAAATTAATAATCTTAATTAAATTTCCCACCCAGCCTCCCTACCTGGAGAGCTGGCGTGGGTCTCTCATTGGTGGTCCAGTGGGGCTGCTGGGAGGCGTGCGGATGAATTGGATGCCGAGGTGGCGAGGGAGCTCTGATCTCTCTGATCTGCTCCCTCGCAGGCTGTTTACTGATGCCGCGGGAGCCGGAATATGACATCATCAGTAAGCAGCCTGCGAGGGAGCACATCAGAGAGATCAGAGCTCCCTCGCCACCTCGGAATCCAGTTCAGCCGCACGCCGCGCCGAGGATCCAGGAGGTGACCTGGCAGGAGGGAGCACTTCCCTCCTGCCGGTCACTGGAATTTTGCGCCCCCAGAGCCGGTGCGCCCTAAGGCGGTCGCCTGTGCCGCCTTATGGACGCGCCGGCCCTGTTTCCAGCAGGGTGTTGTCCCATGAACACTGCCAGACCAGTTTGAACTAGCTGCTTTGTCCCTCCCCAATCTCCCATCAGCCCTTGCTATTGTGTGACACCACCCTTCCTTGTACTATAGTACTCTATGCAACCTATTGTATGTAAATGAGGCTGTTGGGGGGCCTAAAATGTGTGTGCTACGTCTAGTAAAGTTAGTTGCTCTTTTAACCTTCACCAAGTGTCGTCTGGTGTTTGGGGAAATCTGCTGGTGGAAAGTGTGTCCAGGGCTATATACACAGTATATTCAGGGTGGAAAAGGCCCTCAGTGATCCCAGTCAAGCCCCGGCGACTGGGTCTGTAGTGCTCCAGGGTCCCTGATAGCTACGAGGAAGCAGACTTGATGGAGGTACTCGGTCCGAGTCCTGGAGCTCCGTCACAGGTATTGTCAGAACAGTTTTATACATGTTTTTACTATTTTGTGTTTTTTATGTCATATTTAGCAATAACATTAGATATATCTTCTCCGTAGATGAAACAATGGAAATTACTCCTACAATGGAAACTTCTAACTGTCCTGCTATTACTATTGAGATTAAAAACACACTTAAGAAGATATCAGTATCAGTGGACCTTGTTCTTGCTTTGGAAGTACCAGGGATCTGGCCTGAAGCAACTGGAGACGGAATGAATATTGATTGTTGGTTAGGAACCAAAATGAGAAATGAGTACAAGTACGAGAACGTCTGCTTGGTAGCCAAGCAGCCAGATGAAAGTAAAGACAAAGGTAAACTTGATGAATTGTCTGTTTAGTCTACATGCAATGTTTGTGCTAAAGGATATGCAATGCAGGTAATATGGATGTGAACTGCTTACATTGTGTATGGAGAATGTTGTTTTAAAAAACATGCTACATGCTAATTAAACAATCCAAACTTGAGTTAACTGCCTCATTTTATAGTATTTTAGTGAAAGGTATTAAACTTAAACTTTATGCGGCTTCCACAGTGATCAGACCACATAGTGGTTCAAACTATTCTATTGCTCCCATAACTTTTTATAGGACCATGGAGGTTATAGGGATGTCTGTGTTTAGTGGAGTTGCAGTTCATTTGTAAACTTGTTGGTGAAAGACTGGTGGTGCCAAATGGTCACCCTTTAACCCTCATTATTAGGCAGTTGGTGAGACACTAACAATCAAATCAGTTTACCTAACTCTGAAGCTTGGAATGGTTTTTTTGGGGGTTTTTTTAGCCCAAGGATAAAATGTATGGCTCCTCTCACATATGTTAAAATGAAAATCCAGCGCATTCACTTATCTACTAAACAGTTATTTTAGTGCTGAACCATTTTGTTAGTTTTATTAAAAACACCTAATCTAGGCAAAAATAATGGGGGTTTAGTTACATTATATGATCGTACATGCATAAGCCTGCCACAACGTCAGTGTATCCCATCTTTGGCAGGTCCTACTCTGTCTGCTAAATGAGCTACTCACTTGGGGAAATCCTTCCATTTAAGCTCTCTGCAGTACAAGGCTTAAATAGGGTCCTGAGATGAGGCACCTGTAACAGGGAGGGGTGCAGAACCAAGTTTTCTCCTATATGTATATATTTAGGAGTCATTTAGCAGACAGAGTAGGACCTGCCAAATATGGGGTACATTGGCGTTGTGGCAGGCTTATGCAATGTATGATCATATAATTTAACTAAACCCCCCATTATTTTTGCCTAGATTAGGCATTTTTAATAATACTAACAAAATGGTTCAGCACTAAAATAACTGTTTAGTAGATAAGTGAGTGCGCTGGATTTTCATCTTTACTCTACTTATTGGCCCCCAACAGCACCCCATTTAAGTATGTTTAGGTGGGTGCAGCCAAACCCTTGTTTCCTCTCACATATGTTCACTCAAGCTCCTCCCTAAATCACATGCCGTATGCCACACTGTACTATTGACACACACAAGCCCATACTCACTCACACACACACACACACAGTGTAAAACTATTTTATTTTTTTATTTCATCCTGTTCCTCTCTGTACCTTTCTCTCACCTCTCCTTACTTGTCTCCTTCTTATCGTGGTCATTAGCGAATGTCAGAACACAAAGAGACAATGAATTCCTTGCCCTGACCCTTCACCAGTGCTGCTGCATGCACCTGGCAGGGCTCAAAGAAAAAAAAACATGTCTGCTGTTATCTAAGGAATACTCTCCCTTTCATAAAATGTATGAGTAGAGTTTATATTTGTTTGTCAAGAGTTTATGTTTTGTTTCCATTGTTTACATATTTAGTGGAAGCCTGGCGCCTTTCATTTTCACACATCGAAAAGGAAATAATTAAGAACCATGGTAATTCAAAAACCTGTTGTGAAAGTAAAGAACAAACATGCTGCAGGTGAGTGTAATTTGAAGTTCCTGTATTGTAATTATTCATTAAAGGAACACTCCAAACACCATAACAACTGGTGCGTACAACAGTCATTTTTTCCAGTTTGTCCACTTTGGCCCTAAATGTGAAATCTGTTTTAAATTCACCTTCCATTCGCCACAAATCTCACTTTAGTGTATAACTTTGCAGTTGTTTAACACATTTTTGTTTTGCAAGTTTAAAGAGAAACTATAGCGCTACGAATACAAACCTGTATTCCTGGCACTATAGCTCCCTCTGCCTCCCTCCCTCAATGAGCTGAAGTGATCCCTACAGTGTCCCTTTAACCTGATTCATGACTTTCCATAATTGAACTTTCCTGAATTATATTTGGATTGCCACTGCTAAATATTCCATGCTACAGCTACTCAGAAGTATTGTGCAGAGCAAGACTGTATATATTGTATCTTTTTATTGCTATTGTTATCTTAATTTTCTACTGAAGAGGACCTATTACTCTAAACTATCTTAAAATAAGTTGGCAGCATGGCAATGTGTGAGATCAGAGCATGAACAAGATTAAGAAGCATGTTTTACATAATAGATGTGGAATATTCACCCCGTGAAAGTAGAAAGTCAGATACTTTGGTGCAGGAACAATCCAAATTGCTTATACACTGACCAGCCACAGCATTAACACCACTGACAGGTGAAGTGAATAACATTGACTATATTGTTACAATGGCACCTGTCAATGGGTGGGATATCTTAGGCAGCAAGTGATCTTTCAGTTCTTGAATTTCATGTGCTGGAAGCAGGAAAAATTGACAAGTGAAAAGATCTGAGTGAATTTGACAAATAGTGATGGCTAGACGACTGGGCCAGAGCATTTCCAAAATGGCATTTCTCATAGGGTGTTCATGGTATGCAGTGGTTAGTGGTTACAAATAACATACAATAGGACATTCCCCAAATAACTTCAAACATCATCCCAAGGAATGAGCACCATATGTAAGCTGAATCTATCTTTGAAGAGTTTGAATGCCAAATGTCTTGTTTACAGCAAACACCTTGAACCACTTTCCGGGAGACAGGACACTGATTTCCTACTCGATGACGTGTTGTGGCATCAGCTTCTTTAGATCACAATGCATATTGACTCACATACTACCCTTACAGGGCCATACTGGCTCACCGGGATACCGGGAACTTTCCCGGTGGGCCATCGGCACCTGGGGCCGGGTAGGCAGCTGGCTGACCTGCGGCCGCAGAGGGAGCTGGCTGTTGTGTCTCTGCTCCCCCGCCCCAGCGCGCAGCATAATGAGACCGGAGACGGAATATGACGTCATATTCCGGCCCCAGTCTCATTAAGCTGCGCGCTGGGGAGCAGAAACAGAAGAGCCAGCTCCCTCTGTGTCAGTGTGAGTGTGTGTGTCTCTGTCTGTGTCATGGTGTGGGTGTGTCTGTCTGTGTCATGGTGTGTGTGTGTGTGTCTGTCTCTGTGACGGTGTGTTTTTGTCATGGTGTGTGTGTGTCTGTCTGTGTCACGGTGTGTGTGTGTGTGTCTGTGTCACGGTCTCTCTGTGTCGTGGTGTGTGTGTCTGTCTGTGTCACGTAATGTGTGTCTGTGTCATGGTCTGTCTGTGTTATGGTGTGTGTGTGTGTGTCTTTTTTAAGGTGTGTGTCTGTCATGGTGTGTGTCTGTCTGTGTCATGGTGTGTCTGTATTTCTGTCTGTGTCACGGTGTGTGTGTGTCTGTGTCATGGTGTGTGTCTGTCATGGTATGTGTGTGTATGTGTGTTTTTACTCACAATTTTTTCCCCCACGTCGTGCTGGTCTCTATGGCTGAGATCATCACGCTTGATGATCTCAGCCAATCCGCACTGACACAGGAAGCACCTCTAGTGACTGGCATTCTGAGTGTCTGTCACTAGGAAGCAATGTAAACACTGCCTTTTCTCTAAAAATGTGTGTTTACACTGAAAAGCCTGCAGGGACAGGCTATAGACACCAAAACCAGTACATTAAGCTGTGTGGGTGTGTGCGCGCCTGCTAGTGAGTGGGCCTGCTTGTGTGTGTGTGTGCCTGCTACTGAGTGAGCTTGTGTTTTTATGTCAATGACCTTATGTATATCAGTGAGATTGTTTGTCTATGAGGCTGTGTATCAATCAGCTTGTGTCAGTGAGATTGTCTGTGTCTTCATGTGAGTATGCTTACTGTATAATTAAAAATTGTACTCTGAAAGGACTAATATTTTATATTGGAAAAAGATATAAATATGTATATATAAATAAATGGCTGTAATAGAAGGCTGCACTCGCGGATTCCATAAAATATAACTTTTAATCAGTCCTGTTAAAAAAATCAACGTTTCAGTCCTACTTGAGGACTTTCATCAGGATTATACAGACAATGTGCAAAAGACAGTGTATATATATAGGTTACAATAAAATGTAAATAGACTCACCCTAGGTGCTCTGTGTTTTGGCCAGCGTCTAACCCGGAAATGTGCACATGTGCGAGGCTAAACTCCGCCCCCAAACGTGAGGCCAAACCTATGCGGCCATCGTTGTCATAGAAACGTGACCAAACATAAAGTGTTGCGATCAGGATTCTATCCTGAGCACATGTGAGGGGTCTAACCCACCCCCTAGCATGACAACATTGTATATTATTGCATTAGTAACGCGCTATGGACATCTGATATGACTTAAGCTTACAATCATACATGCTAGTATTACTAGAGAATATTGTGTGATCGGACATTTTATAAGTGGTGAAGCACCAAAGGGCATCATAGGACAATGATGTGTGGAAAACAATATATAGAAGTAAAGTGCTTGCTGCTGTTTAAAGTGTTGGTGTAAAATCCATCAATATATAAAGTGCTGTGACTATGTAAGTCTCTGCCATTGATGGCATCTTGGAGCCTATTGCAAAATGGCTTGATTACCTTTTTCAGGGTCCAGTTGGGCAATTACATACCTGTATTAAAGACACTCAATCTCTTATAACTAACAGCAATAAATTATGATACAGTGACCAAACACCAGTTCTAATAACCATGGATGTGCACAGCCTATACACAGTGATTCCACATGAAGCCGGTGTTGAAGCTATGCGATAGATATTAACTCAAGCTACAGCCTATCATGGCCCCCCTATAGAGTATATCTTGGAACTACTCATTTTGACTCTACAGAATAACTATTTTCGATTTGAGGACAGCTGGTATCTTCAGGTGTCAGGCACATCAATGGGGGCACCCATGGCGCCGATGTACGCCAACGCCTACATGTATATCTATAAGAAAGAATATATATTAGAGAAATACCAACACAACATATTGGCTTACTACAGATTTATCGACGATTTGCTTATTATATGGAGTGGAACAAGCGAATCAGCCCATGAAATGGTTCAAGACCTCAATCTTCTCCCAACGCCTGTGAGATTTACTGCAGACATCAGCACCAAGGTGCAGACATCAGAAACAAGAAAGTGCATTATCTGGATTTAGAAATCACATTGGGGCCAAAAAAGCCTACAGTACTCTCTTTATACAAAGCCTACGGACAGAAAATACACTCCTCCATTACCAAAGTGCACATCCCAGGGCTCTGAAAAACTCACTACATAAGGCACAGTTCCTAAGTGATTAGGAACAATTCAGATATGGCAATTAGATCCTTGAAATGAAAAGCACATTTCTACAAAGAGGATATGATAGGCACATACTTGACATAGCGCTACAAGAAACACGGAGTGCATGTGCTGTTGAAGTAAGGAACAAGCCTTCTAATTTGGTTTTCCCAATGCTATATCACCAATCCACTCTTCAAGTGGCATCGGTAGTCAGGAAGAATTAGAGGATCTTGTCTTGCGATGACACACTCCCAAAAGTGTTCAAAGAAAAGCCATTGATATGTTATAAAAGGAACAGGAATCTGAAGGACATGTTAGTCCATACGGACCCCTCCCAAAGCTATATTAAAACATCGAAAGAGCAAATAAGAGGGTCGGTTAGATGCCTTGGTTGCGTGACTTGCAGCCACATGACACCTGCAAGAACTTTTAGTCATCCTCATAACAACAGAAAATACACTATCAGATATACCATGACCTGTAAGACGACACATGTGATTTATAAATTATGTTGCCCTTGTGGCTTGTTCTACATTGGGAAGACGGAGATGGCCATCTGTGAACGGATCAGGGTACACAGATCGGATATTCGACTGGCATACAGAGATACTTACTCAGACAAACCTGTTGCAAAGCATTTCTTTGAATTAAAACATTCATTAGCTACATTAAAATTTCTGGCGATTGATCACATCCCTGCCCCTAGGAGAGGGGGTGATCGGGGGAAGATGCTCCTGAACAAAGAGGCATACTGGATACATGAGTTGGACACGTTATCCCCAAAAGGACTAAATGAAGCTTTGTCTCTACATTCTTTTGTGTAGTTTGAATCCATTCAGTTTTTATGTCCCCTAATGCTATTTTAATGTGGTTTTTTTTCTTGCTTTTTCTTTTCTCTTTTCTTTTTCTATTTTTCTTTCTATTAACTGTTGATTTTTTGTTGTCCTCGGCCCAGATGCAATGTTGCAAGCCTTTTTAATAAAAGTATTCTAGGTATCAGTAACTACTTTAAGTGTTTAACACACGATATCTGATACCTGATATAATAATATCTTTAGCCAATATTGAGAAGATATATTCCTTAAGCGATAGATGTAAATTTATTACCTAGTATATAATCTTTTTCCATTGTAAATATAGCAGGCAGTTGTAAGCCATCTTATTTTAACATTTGTATTTTTCTCTATATTGATAATGTTGTCTTATTAAGGTGACACAACATCTTACTCAGCACTAATGTCACTTATATAGTCACAGCACTTCATATATTGATGGATTTTACACCAACACTTTAAACAGCAGCAAGCACTTTACTTCTATATATTGTTTTCCACACATCATTGTCTGTTAAAAAAAATCAACGTTTCAGTCCTACTTGAGGACTTTCATCAGGATTATACAGACAATGTGCAAAAGACAGTGTATATATATAGGTTACAATAAAATGTAAATAGACTCACCCTAGGTGCTCTGTGTTTTGGCCAGCGTCTAACCCGGAAATGTGCACATGTGCGAGGCTAAACTCCGCCCCCAAACGTGAGGCCAAACCTATGCGGCCATCGTTGTCATAGAAACGTGACCAAACATAAAGTGTTGCGATCAGGATTCTATCCTGAGCACATGTGAGGGGTCTAACCCACCCCCTAGCATGACAACATTGTATATTATTGCATTAGTAACGCGCTATGGACATCTGATATGACTTAAGCTTACAATCATACATGCTAGTATTACTAGAGAATATTGTGTGATCGGACATTTTATAAGTGGTGAAGCACCAAAGGGCATCATAGGACAATGATGTGTGGAAAACAATATATAGAAGTAAAGTGCTTGCTGCTGTTTAAAGTGTTGGTGTAAAATCCATCAATATATAAAGTGCTGTGACTATGTAAGTCTCTGCCATTGATGGCATCTTGGAGCCTATTGCAAAATGGCTTGATTACCTTTTTCAGGGTCCAGTTGGGCAATTACATACCTGTATTAAAGACACTCAATCTCTTATAACTAACAGCAATAAATTATGATACAGTGACCAAACACCAGTTCTAATAACCATGGATGTGCACAGCCTATACACAGTGATTCCACATGAAGCCGGTGTTGAAGCTATGCGATAGATATTAACTCAAGCTACAGCCTATCATGGCCCCCCTATAGAGTATATCTTGGAACTACTCACTTTGACTCTACAGAATAACTATTTTCGATTTGAGGACAGCTGGTATCTTCAGGTGTCAGGCACATCAATGGGGGCACCCATGGCGCCGATGTACGCCAACGCCTACATGTATATCTATGAGAAAGAATATATATTAGAGAAATACCAACACAACATATTGGCTTACTACAGATTTATCGACGATTTGCTTATTATATGGAGTGGAACAAGCGAATCAGCCCATGAAATGGTTCAAGACCTCAATCTTCTCCCAACGCCTGTGAGATTTACTGCAGACATCAGCACCAAGGTGCAGACATCAGAAACAAGAAAGTGCATTATCTGGATTTAGAAATCACATTGGGGCCAAAAAAGCCTACAGTACTCTCTTTATACAAAGCCTACGGACAGAAAATACACTCCTCCATTACCAAAGTGCACATCCCAGGGCTCTGAAAAACTCACTACATAAGGCACAGTTCCTAAGTGATTAGGAACAATTCAGATATGGCAATTAGATCCTTGAAATGAAAAGCACATTTCTACAAAGAGGATATGATAGGCACATACTTGACATAGCGCTACAAGAAACACGGAGTGCATGTGCTGTTGAAGTAAGGAACAAGCCTTCTAATTTGGTTTTCCCAATGCTATATCACCAATCCACTCTTCAAGTGGCATCGGTAGTCAGGAAGAATTAGAGGATCTTGTCTTGCGATGACACACTCCCAAAAGTGTTCAAAGAAAAGCCATTGATATGTTATAAAAGGAACAGGAATCTGAAGGACATGTTAGTCCATACGGACCCCTCCCAAAGCTATATTAAAACATCGAAAGAGCAAATAAGAGGGTCGGTTAGATGCCTTGGTTGCGTGACTTGCAGCCACATGACACCTGCAAGAACTTTTAGTCATCCTCATAACAACAGAAAATACACTATCAGATATACCATGACCTGTAAGACGACACATGTGATTTATAAATTATGTTGCCCTTGTGGCTTGTTCTACATTGGGAAGACGGAGATGGCCATCTGTGAACGGATCAGGGTACACAGATCGGATATTCGACTGGCATACAGAGATACTTACTCAGACAAACCTGTTGCAAAGCATTTCTTTGAATTAAAACATTCATTAGCTACATTAAAATTTCTGGCGATTGATCACATCCCTGCCCCTAGGAGAGGGGGTGATCGGGGGAAGATGCTCCTGAACAAAGAGGCATACTGGATACATGAGTTGGACACGGTATCCCCAAAAGGACTAAATGAAGCTTTGTCTCTACATTCTTTTGTGTAGTTTGAATCCATTCAGTTTTTATGTCCCCTAATGCTATTTTAATGTGGTTTTTTTTCTTGCTTTTTCTTTTCTCTTTTCTTTTTCTATTTTTCTTTCTATTAACTGTTGATTTTTTGTTGTCCTCGGCCCAGATGCAATGTTGCAAGCCTTTTTAATAAAAGTATTCTAGGTATCAGTAACTACTTTAAGTGTTTAACACACGATATCTGATACCTGATATAATAATATCTTTAGCCAATATTGAGAAGATATATTCCTTAAGCGATAGATGTAAATTTATTACCTAGTATATAATCTTTTTCCATTGTAAATATAGCAGGCAGTTGTAAGCCATCTTATTTTAACATTTGTATTTTTCTCTATATTGATAATGTTGTCTTATTAAGGTGACACAACATCTTACTCAGCACTAAAGCACTAATGTCACTTATATAGTCACAGCACTTCATATATTGATGGATTTTACACCAACACTTTAAACAGCAGCAAGCACTTTACTTCTATATATTGTTTTCCACACATCATTGTCCTATGATGCCCTTTGGTGCTTCACCACTTATAAAATGTCCGATCACACAATATTCTCTAGTAATACTAGCATGTATGATTGTAAGCTTAAGTCATATCAGATGTCCCTAGTTACTATGGCAATAATATACAATGTTGTCATGCTAGGGGGTGGGTTAGCCCCCCGCACATGCGCTCAGGATAGAATCCTGATCGCAACACTTTGTGTTTGGTCACGTTTCTATGACAATGACGGCCGCATACGTATGACGTCACATTTGGGGGCTGAGTTTAGCCTCGCACATGTGCACATTTCCGGGTTAGACGCCGGCCACAACACAGATCACCTGGGGTGAGTCTATTTACATTTTATTGTAACCTATATATATATACACTGTCTTTTGCACATTGTCTGTATAATCCTGATGAAAGTCCTCAAGTAGGACTGAAACGTTGATTTTTTTAAGAAGACTGATTAAAAGTTATATTTTATGGAATCCGTGTGCAGCCTTCTATTACAGCCATTTGGATGTTTGGAGCCCTGGTAGTGCACCCGGTCTTGGGAGTTGAAGTCTGAGTGCAAGGTACAGTTGTTTCTTTTATTTATATATATATATATATATATATATATATAAATAAAAGAAACAACTGTTATAAAAATATATATATATAAAAAAAAGGTACAGTTGTTTCTTTTATTTATATATATATATATATATATATATAAATAAAAGAAACAACTGTACCTTGCACTCAGACTCATCTAGGGTGGCCAGACATAGCCTTACATATTACATGCGACAATATATGGCGCAATGACTCATGGGGCTGGCATAGATTTTTATTCCAGGGCTGCTTTGGAATCCCCAGTCCGGCCCTGTGCCCTTATAATGCACTCGCTCACACAATTGTCGAAGAAAGTCTGGATTTTATGCTAGGAGTAACAACAACATAACCAGAGTAATGATAATAAGAAATAAAATAAAAAGTAAGGTGATTAAGTATAGTGAAAATGCAGAAGGAAATGTAAAATTCCCTGAAAGTGGATATCATACCGGGTGGACAAAAATGAGAACGCCATCTGGGCATGACAATAGGAGAATGAAAAGAAAGAGCAGTCTTTGTCATGCAGAGAAGGATTGAGGGATTTCGCTAACCAATCACTTTGATGCTTTGGCTAATTAACATGATGATCATAATAATGACAATATTTTCCCACCAAATGCACTCATTAATGTTGTGGAACTATAAATTAACAGATTATTATTAGTATTTTAAACAAAGGTCTTAAATTCATCCCATCAGGATTTCTAATTATTTCTCAGTGTATGTTGATGTTTTAAAAAATTTTAGAACAGGAACTTTAAAAATAGTTTTTTGATAGAAATGGCAACCTAAGGTATTAAACTTGGGGTATTTTGACTCTTTTCATGCAACCATTTTACCATCAATCTATGCCCAATTTAAAAAAAATAATAATAATTGGTGATAAGTGATGTCCCGAACGGTTCGCCACGAACGGTTCGCCGCGAACGGTTCACCACGAACAGTTCCCTGCAGACTCATCATTGAGTAAACTTTGACCCTGTACCTCACAGTCAGCAGACACATTCCAGCCAATCAGCAGCAGACCCTCCCTCCCAGACCCTCCCACCTCCTGGACAGCTCACTAAGAATGCACCTTCAAAATGGATGCTGTCCAGGAGGTGAGAGGGTCTGGGAGGGAGGGTCTGCTGCTGATTGGCTGGAATGTGTCTGCTGACTGTGAGGTACAAGGTCAAAGTTTACTCAATGATGAGTCCGCAGAGAACCGTTCGTGGTGAACCGTTCGCGGCGAACCGTTCGTGGCGAACCGTTCGGGACATCACTATTGGTGATTTTTTTTGACATACATAGCAATTAAAGAATATATGTACTGAGAACTTTAAGGGTTACTACCAAAGAACACCCCAATATGTATTCAGCAACATCTCCTGAGTACAGTGATACCACCCATGTCGAGTAGTCTGGGGGCGCATTCCAGTTTTCCAACTTGGAATTTCTACAGCTGGTCATCATGCACCCATGTCCTATTTGGGACATTTTTGAAGCCGGACAATGTAATTTACCTCCATCAAACCATATATTTTTGAAAAGTAGACAACCCAGGGTATAATATATGGGGTTTGTCCAATCTTTTTTAGTAGCCACAAACACAGGCCAAAGCTAGCATTTATATTTGTTTGTGTGTTAAAAATGCAAAAAAAATTATGAACGCTAACTTTGGCCAGTATTTGTGAGTAAGTGGCTACTAAAAAAGACTGAACATACCCCATTTGCAATAACTTGGGTTGTATTCTTTTGCAAATGATATGCAATCATGGGGCTAATTCTCATTCCTGGGCTACCCTCTCAAAGGCAACATAACCAATCTGAAAAATTTAAATGTGAAAAAAATGGCCTTATATTTGACCCTGTTACTTTCAAAAACACTCTAAAACCTGTGCATGTTATACTCAGGAGACTTCGTTGAACACAAATATTAGTGTTTCAAAACAGTAAAATGTACTACAACAATATCAGTAAAAGTGCCGTTTGTGTGTGAAAAATGCCAAAAAATTTCACTTTCACAGACAATATCATCGTTGTGATATGTTTTACTGTTTTGAAACACTAATATTTGTGTTCAGCAAAGTCTCCCGAGTAAAACAGTACCCCCCATTACAGGTTTTAGGGTGTCTTGGAAAGTTACAGGGTTAAATATAGTGCTAGCAAATAACATTCTCTGGACTTTCGCCTAGGTTGTCAGGCTGGTCCCCCAAATTGCAATCAATAAAATGACTTAATTATGTAAAAATATCACATAAATATGCACGTAGAATTTAAATATATATACATATTTATATATTTGAAGTCTACGTGTATATTTATGTAATTATGTATACATATATATGTATATATATATATTAATCTAAAAATACAGTTAGAATAAAGAGCTTGAATGGCTAATACACAAAGGGGTTAGAGGTGATTTGGGAGCTGTCCCATTTCATGCTACTTGTGTTCTGTTGATGAAGAAGGTGGAATATCTCAGCTCAGCATTAATGCATCTAAAATTTGGGATGGTCGGACATTACTGTGAAATCTTATTTTCAATTACTGATCAGTAGATTAAGTGTTTTAGCCATGCATGTTTGTTTTCGATAAGGATTTACATATACATAGAAATTAACAAAACACATGTTTTTTCTGTTTGCATGTTTTTTTTCTTCTTAACAGGAAAGCATGCCTTAAACTTTTGAAATGCCTTTTGGAACTCATAAAAAATAATTCCAATAAAGAGAGCCTGGATGTGTTCTGTTCATACCACGCTAAGACTGCGTTCTTACATTACTGTGCAATGAACCCATTAGATACACAATGGTTAACAGAAGATCTGCAAAAATGTTTTGATGATTTTGTTGGATACTTTCTAACATGCCTTAAAGATGCGAGACTCCCTAACTTTTTTATACCTCGTCACAATCTGTTTGACAGCAGAATTAAAAAAACATGCTTTACTCTTCTTCATGATGAAATAGAACATGAGAAAAATCAAGGATATCCAATCTTTGATAAAATCTTTCTTAATTGATTAAACAATTTCAAAGTGATTTATGATTTTAATAATTGACGTATTTTTCCCATGATTAACTCTTTGCCCAGCTCACCTATGCAAATGTTTTTGGTTTTTATCTGAATGTTTCTAGGAAGTTTAAAAAAAAATATATATATATATATATATATATCCTAAAATGTTACACAAAATGATAGCGTATCAAAGAGCAATAGGAAGCATCTACTGTTTACATTGTCTTCCTAGAGTAATTGCAGTAATATAAAATAATAATTAAATTGAAATTTTACATGATTGTCTGGAGAGCTGAATAGCAGTACAAATAAAATATATTAAAGCTATATTTTTGTACATTTTTCTGTATGGTTTAATCATGCGATCTGCTATTAAATTAAATATGGGTATTAGCTTTTGTGTCAACTATGGCATTTCATGTATTCTTTTAGTCGGGGCTCAATGGTCATGACAGACACCTGATATTCATAAGGCCCAATGAAATGGCCAAATGAAGTTGTTTACTGTAGTAAATTTGTTACAATTTGTAATAAGAATTTTAAAAAAGCTTTGACACTGGGAATTTTATGGCAGGACAGGAGGCTTCATATTTGCTTTACCTTCTTTACTGAAACCTCCAGCAGCAAAGAAATAGTTAACAGAACTTTTCAAAACAACCAATCAGAATAAAGCAACAGCAGTATAAAACCACTTAGGCAGACCCTCCCACTTCCTCTTTCTTTGCTGCTGTCTCCAAGTGAACACTCACCAACTCAGAGTTGTGTCTGCTCTGGGTTGGTTTTTTTTCTCTACATGCTGTTTGTTTATTTAGGCAGTTTATTTGCTGGGTTTATTTAGGCATTTTAATTTATTGAGCAGTTTATTCTGTGTTATTTTAGTGCCACTTTATGCTAGTTATTTGCTGTGTCACTTTATACCTTTTATTACTGTAATTTTAGGCCATTTATTTAATGTGTTACTTGATACTGCTTATTGATGTATTATTCTATACTGCTTATTGCTGGGTTACTTCATGCTGTTTCTCTGCTGTGTCACTCTATACTGTGTTCCTTTGCTGGCCTGTGTGTGGAATGGGTTACTCCCTGTTATGGGGTTTTTGCTCTGTCTATAACCTGTTCTTCCACCCTGGGTTTTCCCTTCTGGGCTCTGTCACCCATACTCTTCCTCCCTCACCCCCGAGCTGCTCCACGCTTGCTCAGGCTGCGCTCAATTTTTGCGGCCATTTTTTCGGAGCCACATGGGCTCCGTGCGTTCTGGGCAGCCGGTCTCACCCACCACGCTGCCCTGTTGTTTGCTGGCCATGTGGCCTGCCTTCCCTCTCCCTGTGTATCAGGGGAAATGGCTCAGTTTGTTAACCCTCTACTTACTGTGCTTGTTCAAATCACAAGGTTATAATTGCAACTTGCTATGCTGTTTGATGCAAGGTGAAAACTTTCTCTAATCTCAGCAGATTAATGCCACATGTGATACCTAATGCTATTCAAGCTTTTTTAAGGTTCAATCATTTTCACATCAGGAATTAAATGACCTGATTTCAACATCCAGCTCCCCTGTATGGGATTTGCTGCCCCTTCCTCCAGGGGACTTCATGTTTTCCACTATATATACAGTTCAACAGTGTATCCCAATAAGGCTGATTTACACTGTGGCTGTGTAAGGCAGTTCAGCATGCCCTAGGACACCTGAGAGGTTTGTAGAGGTGGTTACCGTATATACTCGAGTATAAGCCTAGTTTTTTGGCAAATTTTTTGTTCTGAAAACCCCCCACTCGGCTTATACTCGAGTCAATGTCTGTATTGTGGCAATTTACATTGCCACAATACAGACCAGGACCGCCGGGCTCATTACAAGCCTGGCGGTCCTGTTGTGGGCTGACAGAGAGCTGTTACTTACCTTCCTGCAGCTCCTGTCAGCTCCCTTCTCCTCCGTGCAGCTCCCCTGTCAGCTCCATTCTGCTTACAGTGTAAGTTAAAATAATATAATATATTGGGGCGTGGCCTGACGGGCGAAGCGGATGGTCGCACAGTGCTGAGCTCCGCGCACCGACGGCCCGAAGAAGCTAAATTTATAAGCTGTACCGGCAATTATCCGACCCACACATCACCCCCCCAGGCATGGCAGCACAGAAGGCCAAGAAGCAGGCCGAAAAAAACGACCGGACCGGCTTTTTTACGACCCGAGCGTCGACACCAAAATTGATGGGCCTAGCTGACCAGGGACAAGATGGCGACGGAGGTAATGACACACTGCCACTACCAACATCCCCAGGCACACAAAACCTGCCAGTTACCCAAGACTTCCTGCAGAAGTGTCTAGACACCATGTCCAGCAGGATTCTTGAAACCCTGCAAAGTACATTAGGAGAAGTGAAAAGGGAGATGCAGGAGCTGGGGGACAGGACAGCACAAGTGGAGAACCGTGTGGAAGAACAAGCCACTGTGCATAATGCTATGGCAGAACAAGTACAAGAGCTGCAACAACAACTTGACACCACGCAGAGGAAGGTCATGGACCTAGAGGACCGTTCGAGACGTCAGAACCTTAGAATCAGAGGCATCTCTGAGGAGGTAAAGCAGCAAGATCTACATGAATACTTAATGGGGTACTTTAAAGCGATAGCACCAGATCTGCCAGCTGATATTTTACTGCTGGATAGATATCACAGAGTGCAAAAACCGGCGTCCTTACCACAAGACACCCCCAGAGATGTGCTAACTCACCTACACTACTTCCATGCTAAAGAAGCATTACTTCAAGCAACGAGAACGGGCGGCGACCCACCACAAAAATACAAACATATCAAAATGTTCACAGACCTCTCTGCGGCTACGCTGCAAAAAAGAAAAGAATTTAGGGAAACGACTGAAACCCTCCGCTACAACAATATACAGTATAGATGGGGATTCCCTATCCGCCTCCTAATCAGAAGGAATGGTCTGGTGACCACGGTGAACACCCCAGAAGAACGCCGCAAACTGCTGCGCAGCTGGAACGTCCTGCCAAACCCGGAGAAGAAAGAAGCGACTGCAGCACGGAGAATGCCAACTGAATGGAAAAAGGCTAAAAAATGAACTAACACAGAGACCTTTTTCTTCCGCTGAGGACATTGAGGCAAAGCCTGAAGTCTGGCGGTCGGAGAAGCGCAAGTATTCCCAGCAATACACGCCTATCCATAAACATCTAGAAACACACACGACACATTCACTCATAAGCACACTGGATATTAATGTATATATAGATACATACACACACACACACACACACACACAAAAAAAAAAAGCCAGGAAGGCTTGACGTGCATTTGAACCATGAGCACAACACAAAGCCTAAAACCCACACGCACACACACACAAAAAAAAAAAAAACAATATAATAAAAAAGTAACGCAACCTATACGCCACAGCAACAGCCGGTAGATTCACACATACAATGATTGCAACACGAAGGTGAATACCGATGGAAAGATTCGGGCACCCTAAGTGCAACCAATTACACCACACCTTAGAAGTAGACAGAGTACCCACGCTCCCACCTTGCACTATCGTGATAGTGCAACACCCTTCAGTGGGAAATGTATACTGAACCGTTTGTAAATGTATACACTTATGTTTTATTCTATGTGACTGTTATATATGTTGTTTATACTGCCAATCCCCTATACCCACCCTCTACCACCTTGACCCTGACCCCAAGCATTGCAGAGCCCCACAGAGTGATCTATGGGGGCAAAATACACAGCATCCCCTGGGAGGGCCGGTACCTCATCATGGGGACTTGTACACAGACGAACAGAACCAATATAAAACATACATTAAATCATGAAAATATACAACCACAATGTTAAGGGGTTGAATACCCCAGTGAAGAGGTATTGTCTTACCAGAGACCTGCGTAGGTCACGCCCAGATATAGCGTGTTTACAAGAAACGCACTTTAAACAGACGTCCATGCTAGCAAAAGCACAATATCCGGTACAATTCCACAGCACTGCCACATCAAAAACTAAAGGGGTTGCCATAATGATTAGCAAAGAGGTATCCTTTAAGCCCTTGTACGAAGACACGGACACACAGGGGAGGTTTATAATACTGGCGTGTGAAATTAACAATTTAGAGTACACTATAGTGAACATTTATGCACCAAACGCAAACCAGAGAAACTTTTTGCACAAAATTATAACGCGACTTGCGCGGGTCCAGAGGGGCATCACGTTCATATGCGGGGACCTTAACCACATACTTGATCCCAAAAGAGACTCAACGGTAGGGCCAAACACACCCAGACACGCAACCCTCACACGAGAATGTAAGCCTCTGGTTCGCTTGTTTAGCGAACATGACCTATATGACGCGTGGAGGGTATTGCACCCGGACGAGAGGGATTATACATTTTTCTCCCAAGTCCACAATACCTATTCTCGGATAGATGGGTTTTACGTAAAGGGAACGTTCCTTAATCAATTACTAGCATGCTCGATAGGGAACATTACGTGGTCCGACCACGCCCCAGTTACCCTCGAAATACGAGATGCATATGACTATAAACACAGAAGCCCGTGGAGACTGAACGAGACTCTCCTAAACGACACCCAATTTTGTGAGACCCTCACTGACGAATTGCACAGGTACTTTACTACTAACCAAACGTCGGAAATCACGCCAGAGACGCTATGGCAGGCACACAAACCAGTCATCAGGGGATCCCTCATAGGCAGGGCGAGCGCACTGAAACGGGAGTCCCAAAACAAAATGAGGCACTGGCTAAAGTCACTATATACCCTTAACAAACAAAACCAGTTGACCCCAACTCCTGAGCTCAAACGGCAAATTCAGGAGAAACTAGGGGAAATTAAAGAGCACGATCTGGCAAAAACAGGGTACCACCTTAGAAAACTAAAGACGACGCAGTACGTACAGGGCAATAGGGCAAGCAGACTATTAGCCAGGAGACTGTCACATAGAAATGTAAATGCCAAGATCCCATTCATTCACAACCAAACAGGGGAAAAAAAGGTGACACCCAAGGACATTGGGGACGTATTTGCGGATTACTACTCATCTCTATACAACCTGGAGAATGCGGTTGACACGAGCCAGCCAACTACGGGCGGTATAGAGAAGTACCTAGCGGGGATCTCTCTACCATCACTGACAGTGGAGCAAATAGCTACAGTACAGGAAGATATCACAGTAACAGAAGTACTTCAGGCCATATCCCATCTCCCAAGCGGGAAAGCCCCAGGCCCAGATGGGTTCCCCAACAACTACTACAAAAAATTCGCACATACTCTAGCCCCGCACTTAGCAAACTTATTCAATGCACTCACTCGCAAAGCGGACGCTCCGGCGGAGATGCTGGGCGCACACATAGTAACACTGCCTAAACCAGGAAAGCCACCGACATGTAGTCAAAATTTCAGACCGATCTCGTTACTCAACACAGACATTAAACTGTATGCAAAAATACAAGCCAACAGAATAGCGGACATAATCCCGACATTAATTCATGATGATCAGGTGGGATTCACAAATGGCAGACAGGGCTCGGACAACACCAGGAAGGTAATTGACCTACTATACAGCCTGACTGAAAAAGGTGAGGGGGGGATACTTCTGTCACTAGATGCGGAAAAGGCCTTTGACAGGCTCAACTGGCCTTTTCTGCAGGCGGTACTTGGTAAATATAAATTCCCCCCAACCTTTATAAACGCAGTCAGAGCGCTCTACTCCCACCCCACAGCCAGAGTCTTAAATTCTGGGTTTGTATCCAAACAAATACGCATTACTAATGGATCGCGACAGGGGTGCCCCCTGTCACCATTACTCTATATTTTAGCGCTGGAACCCTTGGCGGCAGTTATTAGATCCGACACGAACATACGAGGAGTACGCATGGGGACTAACGAATTTAAGCTCAATTTGTTCGCGGACGATGTCCTAGTAACACTAACACGCCCATTAATATCCCTACCAAACCTGATGACGAGAATCCAAGAATATGGGGCAGTATCATATTACAAGCTGAACGTCACGAAAACTCAGGCCCTAGGAATACAATTAGGTGGCGAGTTAGCAATCAGACTGGAACGGGCATTCCCTCTAGACTGGAGACACGATCACCTGACATTCCTGGGTATCAAAATAACCAAAAACCCAGCCCACCTGTTCCGACACAACTACACCCGACTACTGAAGGAATTTACAGACACCTTGCACTCATGGGAGGGTAAATACCTGTCGTGGATAGGACGCATAGCGGCAGTCAAAATGACACTTACCCCTAAGATACAGTATCTTTACCGGACGCTCCAAATACCAATACCAAAACAGTTCCTAAAAAACGTGCAACATATCATTAACTCATTCATTTGGGAAGGGAAAAAGGCAAGAGTAGCAGCAGGGACGTTATATCGATCTGTCAAAAAAGGGGGATTGGGCCTTCCTAACCTGGCGACGTACTACAGGGCAGCATACCTACACAACATTGCACAGATTAACAGGCCTACCGGCGCCCCGCAGTGGGTGACGATCGAAGCCAGCAAAGCACCACACGGTGATCTTAGGTCACTCATGTGGAAACAGACAAAAAACAACCAGGAAATAAACGATCTCCTACCACCTACCCAAACCTTACTGCGAATGTGGCACACAATGAAACCAGACTTAGTGACGCAACCGACGATACCATTAGCTATGCCATTACGCTCCATAGGACTGGAGATTCCTACATTCCCTTGGGAAATGTGGATGAAAGGTGGGATACGTCACATGTACCAAATGATAGACAGGGGGCGACTGATACCGTTCCCCGACATACAGGAAAAATACAACCTCCCCTCTAAAGCACTATTCTCCTACCTTCAGCTCAAATCTTACGTACTAGATAAGCTAGGGAGACGAACAGATCCCACAGCACCGACGCATATGACGGAATTCGAAAAACAAAGCACGGGAACAACACCACTCAAGAAAATAATGTCCTGGGGATACCAGAGCTTAATAACGCAACAATCACACACATTAGGTGAGGTCAAATCGTCCTGGCAACGAGATATCAATGATACAATAACAGACAGGGACTGGGAGAGGGCATACACGGCTCATAGGGGGCTTACAGCATGTGCCACACATATAGAATTACAGCGAAAAATCTTATACCGCTGGTACTTGGTACCAGATAAATTGCACAGAATATGGCCCTCGACCAGCAATATGTGCTGGAGGTGCGGGAAGGACGTGGGTACGATGATACACACTTGGTGGACATGCACCATGCTCAGACCATTTTGGGCAGAGGTAGCGAACATACTACAGAAGATATCGCCAGCCCCAAGAGTAGACACACCCCAGATGTGTCTCTTGTTTATCTTGCCAGAAAAATTACCGAAACGTATCAAACTGATATTATACCATACGTTAATATCAGCCAACCTAGTGATATCCCGACATTGGAAAAAAGCTCTCACCCCACCCATAGAGGACCTTATAAAACAGGTAAACCAAAATTGGGAATACGAAAAAATGGCCCACGCACAATTTGGAACACGAAAAGAGGTACAGGAAGCACACAATCTGTGGGTTCAACAAATCACGAGCTTAAATACCACCCCCCCTAACCACGACCACCCTAGTGAGTCCAACGACTCCTGAAACAAAATCGAGAGGCGTCACGCAGAGCGCCAACAAACACTACCAACAAACACTACCGTTCCGAATATATTTTAAAAAAAAAAAGGGGGTTTGCAATGAAGCTCCAGATACCACACAACTCAGGGAAGCATGTTTGTATGTAAATGTCTAACTGTGATGTACACTGATATGTATATAACTACACATAGCTATTGTCTGTGTAGCCATTATGCAATGTATCTTTCCCCCCCCTCTTTCCTCGTTCTGTATCCCCATGTTCTTTTTGCTCTAAGACAAAATAAAAATTGTCAATTGGAAAAAAATAATATAATATTAAAATAATAATATTTTATTATATTATTATTATTTTAATATTTGCATTATTTTTTTTTAAATGTTTTTTGTCCCCCCTCATTAAAAAAAATAATGCAAATATTAAAATAATAATAAAATAATATTATTATTTTAATATTATATTATTTTATTATTATATTTATATTATTTTAATAATATTATTTTATTATTATTTTAATATTTGCATTATTTTTTTTAAAAACATTTTTTGTCCCCCCTCCCTGGCCAGGCAACAAGCAGGGAGGGGGGACAAAAAACCATTTAAAAAAAATAATGCAAATATTAAAATAATAATAATATAATAATAAAATAATGTTATTAAAATAATATAATATTATAATAATAAAATAATATAATATTTCCCACCCTAGGCTTATACTTGAGTCAATAAGTTTTCCCAGTTTTTTGTGGTAAAATAAGGGGCCTCGGCTTATATTCGGGTCGGCTTATACTCGAGTATATACGGTAGTCAGTTTCAATCTGTATGTACATGATGCAATATGAAGTGGATGGCAGGGTCTGTCCCTGACCTACACCTATCTGACCTGACACTCCCTTCTACCCCTCAGGGAGGCTAACTGGCTCCCCATACAGCCCTGTTATTACCCATGGGTCTACATTTCTGGGGCACTGCCCTCTACTGGGCCATAATAATGGACATGTGACTCCATTGTGGGTTGAGTGACCCCCTCCCCCTGACAGCGCGGCTACCGCTGAATATTCTGCTGGCCCTACAGCATCCGGTAGTATTATGCTGAGGGTGATCCCCTCCTTCTGTCTGCACTAATGTACTTTAATGTCCGGTTATTATCATACTGAGGGTGAACCCCTCCTACAGTCTGTACTGCTGGACCTGCAGTGTCCGGGCATACCCATAAGTAGGGTACCCCTCCCAATGATTGTGCTACTATTCTTACAGTGCTACTCATGCTGAGGGTGACCCCCTCCTGTGGACTACTCTGCTGGACCTACAGTGTCCCATTAAGACCATAATGAGGGTGATCACCTCTTACCTACTGCACTGCTGGATCTGCAATGTCTGGTTAGGGTTATATGAGGGTGACCCCCTCCTGCCATCTGCACTGCTGGATCTGCATTGTCTGGTTATTTTAATAATACGGCTAACCACTACTGCCTATGGCACTGCTGTGCCTGCAGTGTCCTGTTATGTTCATGCTGAGGGTGACCCCATCCCCTGGCCTATACCGCATGGTATGCCTGTGCTTGTTGGGTGACTCCATCTTGTATGCTTGGTGACCCCCAACTGGCTGCACCAGGTATCACACCAACAGTGTTACCTCTATGGCAGTTATGTAATCACAGCTGACGGAAACATTTCCCATACCTAGAAGGCCTCTGGGCCTGTCCTCGTGCCGCCTTACTGGCCTCACTGTCAGAAGTCCTCGTTACCCTACAGGGGACACTCCACCGGCCACCCTGGACTCTACACCAGGCATCCCTGGTGCTCATAGCTGACAGACGAATTAATCAAGACGATCAGGCTTCATGACTGAGCCCGGAAAGGACCCTGCAAACACCTGACACAGGGTTTGCACTCTATCCAGGACTAACCACTGGATGTCATTGACACAGATGTTCCTCAGGACAAACGACGCGCTACATTGTGGAACACAGGTGGAGGCTAACTCCCCATTGTGAATGGGCCGAAGTTACTTATAAGAAAACGCCTATTTGGTTTCTACCTCTTAAAGCCGCAAAATGGCCCCTGTCCAAGCTGGACACCAGGCTGACGAATTTGGCATCCAAGGTGCTGGGTCTGCTTTCCGGAGTTGCCCTCACGTACAAATTGAGCCGACGCTTCTATTCGTACATTTTCCTTAACTAGTCTCAGAGGTCTCTCAGACTGTGTCCGGACTCAGGATCAATTTTGCTGAACTTTGGACAAAGATCACCGCTCCAGGACTGATACGCATGACCAAAGTGGGGTACATTCCGGTTCTCTCCGAAGTTTGCCCTGCTGGGCGAAGGGCACAATGGAGTGGACTCCCTACCCTGTTCCCACTCTGCATGCTCTGAATGCATATGTCGTCTGACACTTCGAGACGGAGGGCACCCATCCCCTCTGAGATCTGTTCTGAGTTGATGATTGGGATCTCTCAACTGGACCTCAGGGAAACCTGCATGGATTTCACCATCACCGTGGACATATTGGATCTGACTCACTCTCAGTCGGTCCAGCTTCTGGATTTCATGCAATATCCGGTCCAGGCGGTGCTCCGCCTTCTGAGGACCAAGATGTCCGTCTTCAAGAAAGATACCAGGCGTATGCTCCGCAACCCGCGGGTCACACTTAGGGACCTAACAAGGTCGATTGGCCATTTGTCATCCGCCATGGAAGCCATATCTCCAGGACCTGGCACTAACAGATGCTCCAACATGATGGTTCGCTTTCTCGTGGCTTTGGCCTTGTACGACCGAATCATGTGACTTTCGGACGAAGCTTGTCTAGAACTTCATTGATGATTTTGACATGGGGATCTAGACTGGCAAAGGATTTTCGGACCCCAACCAAACTTCGGCCTGGACTCCGACACCGGCTGATTGGACTGGGGCGTTACTTGCGATGGCATGACGACAAGAGGACTCTGGATTCCGGAGGAGAGAACTCTTCACGCCAACTGTATGGAACTACCTGCAGGTTTGTTTGCCATTCGCAGCTTTCCCAGGAGATATTACTGATCACTTATTCCTGGTGGCCCGCTCCAGACTGCAGTCAGATCTCATGAAGAGTCTCTATCAATACTGTCTGGATAAGTATTCGTCACTTGTGGCACAATGCCTGCGGGATGAGGCACTCATGTAACGGACGGAGACACTCCAACGATTGGTTACTTCACCCTCTGGGGTCTCGAGTACTGGCCTGATTGCATTCGGTGCGAGCCGCCAAACAGAGTTGGTTTCCGGACCCTCAGCGAGGCGATGGACGCATTATCCAAGTTTGGTCTCCTTCGGGGGCGTGTGCATCCCATTTTCCTACAGGAAACTTCGGACATTGTGTCAGACCGAACTCCTGGGAGTGTCGTTTCGCCTGGTCACACCACTGCGGAGGAGTCCACCGTGCTTCCCTCTCCTGCTGGAGTTGTCGTGGGAAGACCGCTTGCTACTCCCAGTCTCTACGTGTCCCGTGTGGGATCCACAAGGGAATCCTGCCACGACTGGTGTCTGGAGAGATGTTTGGATCCCTGTTACAGTCTCTATCATGGCTGTCCTCAATTGCCTGACTAAACTGTCCTCTCGGGGTAAGTTCGTATGGGACCATTTGCATCTTAGGTTAGCTAGTTTGATGGCTCATGTGCTTTCTCAAGATTCTGGCATTGGTAAGGATCCCTTTATCTGCAGTCTACCTTTATCTGCAGTATCACGTATACCTTACGGGAGCCCTATCTCTTTTCCTATACCTAAACTTAAGTTGTATCATTTGTTCTGCATTTCCTTGAGGAATGGCCTGATGACAGGGACTTGCCTTTGCGCCAGCTTTTCCGCGGTTCTCCCAGGACGTCTTGTACTCTTTCATTGCGTTCTGACGTTTGTGGTGTTGACGTAGTGTCTTTTTCCTTCTCACCGTCCGGTGTGTCTGCTTCTACTCCTCACGAATACGATTTCTATTCGTCTTCTGTGTCGTATCCCTATTCTCCGGATAGGCCACGGCTTTGTTTGGCAGGTTGTCCATGACCGTGTAGATCCAGGACCTCGTTCTTTAGTCCTTCTGCTCATGAAGCGTTTAGGACTGTCTCTGCACCTTCGCTCGCTCGTTGGATTTGGTGGATTCTCTCATCGGTTGACCTTGAGAGTTCCTTTGGGACACATTTGGTTTGGGGTACTGCCACTTTGGAAGCCATTGGGACCCTTCTGGACTTTCTCTGCACCGCTGCTTGGTCTAGGGAATCGGTTTTCTGTCTTCCTTTTATTTTTGTCCTCTATCTCATATTGCTTCTGGTTTTAATATTTGGGCGTTAAAATTTCAAATATGAAGCCTCCTGTCCTGCCATAAAATTAGGGATTATTCTAGCCTTGGTGAGGGAATAATCTAAATTTTATTAAAGACGAGGTGAATATTTCCCCCCTTTTACGTTCCCTCCCTGGAATTGGGTCTAATTCTATTATAATTAATTGGGGGTATGTTTTGTGAATGCATTGTTTTGCATAATAAAGGTTGTTTCTATTATACAGTGATGATTGTCCGTGTGCATTTTATTCATCATGTACTATGATGTGCAAGTGATATTCTATGGATCTGACATCTTGCTTTGACAGTTTACTTTCACAATGTTTTTTTTCTTGCAGTGTAATCTATTTTCCCTCTGATCGATTGTTTCTCTGGATGTGCATGCTACAAGGTGGTTTTGTTGGTTTCCTTGCTCTCCGTCTCCTGCTCGACCTCATCAAAGAAAGAGGAAGTGGGAGGGTCTGCCCAAGTGGTTTTATACTGCTGTTGTTTTGTTCTGATTGGTAAAGCAAATATTCGCCTCCTGTCTAATAAAATTTAGATTATTCCCTCACCAAGGCTAGAATAATCCCTAATTATAGTCAACTTGTTTTCTGAATAATGAGTCAATAAACTAATTTTCCTATTGAGGAATTGGTCAGTCAGCTTAAATTAATTACAGAATATTGGTCTAGTAGTCAATTAGTTAAATTAACAACAATAAACTTGATGGAATAGTTGTACTAGTGCTTAAATCTTCACTTACAGTCTCTCTACACCAGTGTCCACTACCAAAACACCAAAGATTAAAATTAATACTTCATTTTAGACAGTTTTGATTGTTGCTGGGGAGACAAGAATTATTAGCTGTCTTACACACAGTACCTAATTTTAAGAATATAATCTACAACCAGGGCTGGACTTGCCCACCTGGAAATTTATCGGTGAGCCTGCATATCTTCAGGGATGATGAAACCATAAAAAAGCACTGGCAGCCGCATAGGCCGAACCTGCCCTTTCTTCTGTTGAGAAAGAGACTTAGAGAGGGTCTGGGAAGAAAGAAACACACAGAGGGGCTGGGGGGTGGAGAAAGAGACACAGAGGGCTGGGAAAGGGGGAAAGAGACACACAGAGGGCTGCGAACGAGAAACAAGGGACATACAGAAGGGCTGGAGAAGGGGAACAAGAGACCCACAGAGGGTCTGGGGAAGGGGAGAATGAGACACAAAGAGGTTCTGTGGGGAAAGAGACACACAGAGGTGTGGTGCTGAGGCAGAAGAAAGAGGCACACAGAAGGGCTGGGGGAAAGGGAAAAGAGAAACACGGTATCACGTCCTGTTCCGTTCTGCACAGATGTCTGGCCTTAGCTTCTGGTATCCAGTACTCTTTTTACAATGCTTGTTTGTTTTTTCTGGTTTTCTATTCTATGTCTGGTTTTCTTTTTGTGTGTTTTCTGGGTTCATTCCTTTATTACGTTCCTGGAATTCCCAGTCTCCTGGATTCCTTTAAATGTTTGTTTTTTGTTGCCACACTCATTCCTTTGCCATTAATCCTTTTTGTTTCAGCCTGTTCCTGCTTGCAGGGTCTCATTTCCTCTGCATCTTTCTTTGCAGGTAAGTGTGTGTTTTATTGTTTGTTTAGTCTTGCATATCTAGGCAGTTAGGACCCACCGTAATTGGAGTACTTTGGCGCAGTGGTGGGCTGCATACATCTGGGCCATTTATGTATCTCTAAATCTCCAATATTTATTACATATATAGTACTTAGTTATGTCTCCTCTTGTTTTGCCTTGTATCTCTTGTCTCATTTTATTTTTTCTTGTATTCCTAGTTCATGTACAGTCCTGTCCTCTACTGTCCTGTTAATGTTTCCCTCATGTAGTGTGTACATGTTCTGGGTTCTGCTTTCTCTCCTCCTCCGGTTCTGGATTCTTCTAATCTTGTCTTATCTTGTTTGGTGCCTATTCTAGTCTTACCTTGTTTCTAGTACTGTATACATATCTGTTTAATATCAGCTCCTGGCATCCGCCAGGCTGCATCAAGGCTCTGGTATGTGGTCGCACACACCCTGGGGTGTGTGGTTACCCTGCACCAGACCCTGATTGTCCATTTCCACGCTGAGACTCCTATCATCCTCATCAGGCACACAGGGGTCCCGGTCTTTGGACCGCCACTCGTGACACACAGAGAGCAGAGGATGGGGAGAAAGAGAAAGGGGCTCAGACTAAAAGAAATACAAAGGGGGCTTGGGCAAGAAAGACACACAAAAGGGGCTGGGGGAAAGAGACATACAGAGGGGCTGGAAAAGGGTAAAAAAGAGACACATATGGGTTGGGAGGAAATAAAAGATACACAAAGGGGTTGTAAGAAACACAATTTCTTCACCCTAAAAAGTAAAATAAACTGATATAGTTTCTTCATTATTTCTGTACTATGCAATATGCTGTTGGCCGTGTGTTATTTTGTGCCAATGTAGCCATGGGTCCACCAAAGTATTTTTGAATTCGCCAATCTTTTTTTTTTTTTTTATTTATAATCTTTATTCGGAGATATCATCTCCACTTTTTTTCTTTTTTTTTTTAACACAATAGAGTTTTACAAAAAAAGAAGATACAATTAACAAAACATCCCATAAATAACATATACAATAAGACACACATATCGGTAAACATTACTTTTACCCACATAGGCATGAAGTAGTATAGTTACATTTAGTAAAACCACTATGTTGTTTAAAGATCTCACTGTAAACAACTCACATACAAAAAGGACATAACAAGACAAAACATCAAATGGTCATATGTGGTCACACTTAATATAGTGTCAATCTCAACTTAGGCCCAGAGAGGTTCAGGCCATCTATTATAAGTCAGCAACAGCCTCTAACTTCACCAACCAGGAGTTATAACGTTCTTGATATTTTATATTTAACCCAGCTTCCATTTTCAATTGATATTTAATTTGTTCCTTAACTACTGGCCAGGAGGGCACCAACTCCATTTTCCAGTACCTTGCAATAGAAAGTTTCGCGGCTAAAAGTATATGCAAGATAACCGGCAGTGAGTTGCTACTAACCTGGCGAATATCTAATTGTAAAAGGCATATCTGTGGTACCATCGGTAAATCAATCAAAGTAATAAGTTTTATCCTAGATAAGATCATTTTCCAAAACTTCTGTATATACCTACAGTCCCACCATGTATGTAGATAGTTCCCGCACTCCACGTTGCATCTCCAGGAACTGCCTACTTTAAATAAAAAAAAATAACGTAAATGCAATTGTGTGACAAACGCTCCTTACCCTGGACGTTTGCCAAAAACTCCTGGAGGAGTGTAGAAGCTGGCCTCCTGCCCACTGACTATGGGCCATATACATTGTCCCAAACTCACTATTTTCCCTTCTGTTCACAAGACATTTCCCTCTTGGTTTGTGGCATATAGTTTCCCCAACAGAAATGCATTTCCATAGTTTGGCAGTTACAATCTACCGAAGACACCGACCATCCCCCTGGCTCATTAACTACAAAGAAACCACAGACTTAAGTGCTCTTCCTGTGTGACCGCCGTTCGTATAACCGAACAACACATGCTGGAGACTATGGCGGCCAACTTGATGCACGGACGCAGGCAGCAGGACTTGGTCGTCAAATGTCTGGAACTATAAGTCAGACACTCGACCTCGCCAACCCCAGTAAAATCACACGAACGCCTGCTTCTTTCCACGACAAGCCAGGAGAGCGCTGTTTGGTAGGATTGTTCGCACGAACAAGGCGAACAATCACTACCTATGAGCCAGGGGAACCATTAAACAGTTTGTTCATATGGAACTCCCACTACCACTATTTCTCTGGAACTAATTTGGACAGACGCCATGTGTCTGTGGGGGTTCCTATATGTGTTGTATGTTTTTTTTATGTTTTGTAACTCTAGTGCCTGGGAGATAATTAGTCTAAGCAAACCACACTAAATTATCTCCCAGACACAGAGACTCCTGGGCGTGTTGTTGGAGTGGTTTTCTATGTTACTGCTGGGGGTCTGTTTATATAAGCTGGCCACTGAGCCTTAATAAAACAGTCTTCTTGTACTCTTCATCGAGTATTGGCTGATGTTTAGGTAGCTCAGAGCTTTAATCACTGCATCACTTGGGATTTGGGAGAACTACAGCAGATATACTCAGTCGGAGTATAGCGGATATGTTACAAATTGTATTTGATAAAAGTGTCAGTGACTGCGTGCGTACAATTCTGTGTCACTGAATGTGCATGCAACTCTGCCGATGAATATGTGTGCGACTGTCCATGAATATGAGTGCATATGATTCTGTGTTACTGGTTGTGCGTGGGATTCTGTATTAGTTAAAGGAACACTATAGTCACCTAAACAATTTTAGCTTAATGAAGCAGTTTTAGTGTATAGATCATGCTTCTTATGTTTCACTGCCATTCAGGAGTTAAATCACTTTGTTTCTGTTTATGCAGCCCTTGTCAAAACCTCCCCTGACTCTGACTGACACAGCCTGCATGAAAAAAAAACTGGTTTCACTTTCAATCAGATGTAATTTACCTTAAAGGGACACTGTAGTCACTATAACCACTTTGTCTCTTTGAATTGGTTATAGTGCCTGGAGTGCCCTGGCACTGTCCCTCCATTCAGTGTTGCACCATGTTTGTGCAGTATGCCACAAAATAAGAGTCCCTGGCCACCCACAGTCCGGCCCCTTCTGTATGTGTAGCTAAGGCAGAGATTACACACTTCCTTGTTGTCATACCCATTCATACCGTCAGTTGGAGCTCTGACAGGTTAAAAGCAGTCAGCTGACACTCTCAGCCAATCACAGCTGCCCATTGCTGCTCAGGGTAATACTTCCTTATTAGCCAAAGCAGCACAGAGGGGATAGACTGCCGGGTTCTCTTGTTTAGCATTAAAACATTGCAACATTAAAAACTGTTTAATGTTGAAAGAAATGATGGCACCAGGGGACTCCATACACTATAACCAGTTTAATGAGATGAAACAGATACAGTGCCTACAGTGTCCCTTTAAACAATTGTGTCTCTTTCTCTGTAAATTGAACTTTAATCACATACAGGAGGCTCTTGCACGGTCTTCAAGCTACTAACATAGAAGGGGATATGAATATCTAAATTAAACAGAACTTGCAATAAA